GTAGCAGGTGATGTCCACCACCACCAGTAGCAGGACAAAGATGACGATGAGGATGCCCACAATGGCCCCAGTGCTCAGGCCTGATGTAGGGCTGCCGTTGGCTTGAGTGGGAGGGAGGGAGGGAGGGAGAGAGAGAGAGAGAGAGAGAGAGAGATGGCTGGTGGTTAATACACTGACGTGCAGACTGCTGGACCCTGCAGAGCAACAGCCCCTGGGGGTGGGGTAGCACCTATAGGACAAAGTCGTGGCATTTGTGTCAAGAGTGGCACCTTCCGTGGGGCCTTTCTACACCCCGTTGTGGAGACAACAGAGTCTCTCTGTATCTTCAAGAGGGCGGGATGGCAGCCTTACCTCACAGACCAGGGGGTAGGGGCATGAGGCTCCCACAAGTCGGGAGGAGTGGGCACCAGGAGCTGTATTTCCACCCCTGCGCTCAGTCTCCGAGCCTCCCCCAGCCCCATCCTTAACTGATCTCCTCTTGAGCTCAGGGAAGCAGGCAGGCAGGTGGTGGCCACCGGGTTCAGGCTAGACCATGGCTCTTGGGAGTACTCAGGGACAGGGTCCCAAATGGGGTGGCACAGGGTTCCCAAGGCTTCCTTTGGGCTTGTGCTGGCACGAGGCACAACAGTATGCCCAGTACATGACCCCACCTCCTCTCCTCCTCTTTAAGGACGGCTCTAGATGATCCTGACCTTGGACAGTGTACATTGGCTTCATAGCTTATCCTTCTTCACTGCACCCAGGGAGACAGACGAAGACCATTTACTCTGGAGACATGGAGGTCTGCCCAGGGTGAAAGGTTTGGGAATACTCACCATCTGGGAGCTCAGGCACACTTGGATCAGACTTCAGGAAAACCAGCAGACTCACCCAGAGATGCACACCCACACGGACAGGCACACTCACACTCAGGGCAAAGGTCCTCTGTGCCCACTACAGACAGACACATTCTCCCACTTGAGCAGCCCACAGCATGCCCGTTCTGGCTGGGCTCACTTTGAATGACTCAACTTGTGTTGCACTCCCCAGGGCCCCGGGGGTGTTGGTGGTATCACAGAAGGACCCCAGCTCCCCAGGCCCCCTTGTGTCAATGTTAGCTGCCTGAGGTGGCCCCCTGTTTGGTTCCCCCCCCACCCCACCCCACCCCAGTGTCTGGGAGATAAGAGGTCATGCTGTGGGCAGCGAGCTCTGCCCATAAGCCAGAGCCAATGACATCACACTGAAACACGAGCATGTCTGCTTCGTTTTTCTTCTTCTGGAGGGATAGAGTTCAAGAACTGGCTGCTCCACCCCACCACCAGACCTTGTCTGAAGCTTCCTGTGCTGCCAGGACCCACTGGGATCCCCCAGGTCTGCCGACTAGAGGCGGGAACTGTGGCCAACACGGTCTGGGTCTTGCTGTGCCTTTGCTGAGCCCCAGGCCAGGCCCAGTGGCCTGTTAGCCACACAGCACACCAGATAATGGAGGAACGTGTAGTCCGAGGTGACATGTGCTCAGACAGGCCCCAGTCTTCTTCTTCCATGCAGTCTGTGTTCCTGGGAGCACTCTTTCGTCTGCCCAGGGGTCCCTGGTCAGGTATCGCGGAGCCTCTTCAGCGGTGGTCCCACCCCACTGGCCTCTGTTTCAAAGTTTAATTCAGGGTACAGACCACCAGGCCAGCAGGCCACAGACGACTGCTCATAGCTTCATTTCTCGCACCCAGGGTGCATTTGGGCCTTATAGTTGGAGAAGACTCTCAAATTCTTGAGTATTTTTGGCTTCTCTGGGACCTTGGTCTTGCTTCCCAGTGTTTCCTCCTCAGGCTTGCTGGCTGGTCCCATCCAACCTGCACTGAAAACCTTAGCCTATCCCCCAGGAAGGTTCCAATACTGGCAAAGGCCTCTGTGCTCAGAGGACCCAGCTCCAGCCACGCTGTCTCTGGACTTCGGCAGCAGGAAACTGATGGCTGGCCCCCGTGATCCGCTAGAGCAGGTCTTTTCCCTAGCAGCTCACAAAAGCAGAAGAGAGCATTCGTTCTTCTCTTCCGGCTCCTCATACATTCCACCCAAAGAAGCAGAGAGGCACGCAAGCCTTCCTGATGTTCAGAATCCCAAAGCTGGTTCCCCGAACAGGGAGGAATTACCAGCCTTGGGCTTTCTATCCCATGACAGTGGCTTCCAGCCACTGCCGCCTCCTGACGTCGGTGCCCAATAGGTGTCGAGTGCCTGCTTCCCGAGGAAGGAGCCTAAAGTATTTGGGGGAGGGGAGAATGTTTGTATTTTTGGACTCAGTGGCATCAACTCGACATTCCGAGGTTTACACGTAAGCGTGGTTTTAGGGGACCAGTCATATCTCTGAAGAGGACAAATGGTCCACGGAAAGGGGGCTCTGTGCATGTGAGAGGCAGCCACTGTCCACCTTGTGCTCTGGGCTCGTTAGACCTGGCTGGAGGGCTGCCTGGCTTCTGCAGGCACACTCAGGGGAAGGGCCAGAGGATACAAAGACCCCGGTGACGTGAGACAGAAAGAAGGGCAGTGGTCTTCCCTTCTCCTGGCCTAAAGGCCTTACACATGTCGTGCACTCTCCCACACCTCTGTTGTAACTCATGGCACCGCTCCCCGCACCCCTCCCCCCAACCCATCCCTGTGCTCCAGGCCAGGGCCTTCATCCTACCTGCTGAATATACCCAGCCCATTCCTGCCTCAGGTCCTTGCTGACTCCTTTTTGGGAACCCTCCAGCCCCGTAACCTCCTGGCTGGCTCTTTGCTGTCCTACAGGCCTCAGCTCAAATGTCACCTTGCTGGAGAGCCCTCTCCCTCCGTCCCCTGATCTCTCATTCTGCCCAGTATCTTCCGCAGAGTAGATAAGAGTAGTAGAGTATCTGTTCTCTTCTTACGTCTATCTGCCACTTTCTGTTCACTTGCATGCTTTTTATCTGGCTGTCTTCTCCAGAATGTTCTATAGGGTACTCTTAGTTCTCCCCAGCATCTAGCACAACCCGACTCATAGGAAATGTTCAAAGATTATTTGTCAAAAAGAGGAGTGGGTGTTTAGTCTGGAGATGAGAACACCATCTCCAGATGTTTACAGATGTGTCGTGAAATGGAAGCGGTCTTACTTGGTATCACTGCTGCATGGAAACTGTAGGCGTCGGGGGTAGTTCAGCTTCCCTCGAGAGGGAGCTAACAGTGTGAGCTGCCTCGGCAGGCAAGCACCCTGTGCCTGGACACCCTTGGCAGGGATGCCTAGTGCTCTGGAAGAGGCTCCTGTGTTGGGCAGGGCCTGGGACAGAAGGTGTCTCCACACCCTCTTCAACCACGGGAGCCTGCTGTCCCATGTCGCGGTCCAGCACCCTGCACGCGGTACAGGTCCTCTGCACTGACGACTTTTCCCTTGGAAGACTAGAACACTCAGTGGGTCCCATTTTTATTCACTGGTCCTCGGGATTTTATTTTTATGTGAAAAATAAACACACCTTTTAGCATAATGTTTGTCACCTGCAGCAGAATTTCTAGGGTGCTTTAGGCTCTGGTGTTTTAGAACTGGCTCCCCAGTTCTAGTGAATCAGGATCTCTGTGGGTGATGCTCAGAAATCTGGGTGTGGCCGAGCAGCCCTGGTGATCCTTATACATAGCAGAGTTTGAGGACCGCTGTCTCCAGGCCATCTTGTGCCTGGGTCACAGTGAATAATAGTGGCTTCTATGACTCCTGGCCCACGGATGAGCTGTGGAGTCTCGCCTCGTGGCCCTGACCACTGAGGTGGTCATACTGACGTAACTGACGTACTGAATGTATGGAGAGAGGGAGCAGAGACTGTCCCTGAAGGAAAAAGGACCAGCCAGTTCACCACTTAGAGTACAGACTTCCAGAGGAAGTAAGAGGCTCCTTAAGCTAGAGAAAGGGTGTGTGCACCTTTTACAAAAAGAAGCTGTACGTAAGGGAAACACCGGGAAGTAGATGAGAGGGTATGAAAGTCAGCATTCATTACCTCTAGGGGGATGTTACAAAACTGTGTAGTTCAGGAGAGCCAGGAGGACATAGGTTATCTCCTACACCTTACGTAACATTGTATAAAAAAGGAAAAATTAAAACCTTCCAGGGCTCTGTCTTTGCATGACCTTACGCTGGCCTCCTGTGACTGACTCACCCCACATCTCCACGCACAGACTTTCTTGGGAGCAGTTCCTCCATAACCTCCAGGGTCACAGCCACCCGAATGGTGATGCTGCGAAAGTGAGGCTGTCCATCTTCTGTGGTTCCTGGCATGGGAGAGGCTGGCACTGACTGGGGAACTGGCTGCCCCATGACAGGGACCTACATATATCTCCCTTAAATGCCTCAAAATGGGAAGATGGGTCTCACATTTTACAGACGCCAGATGGGTCTGAGTCATTGTGTCATGGGACCTCAGTGCAGCCAGGTGCCCTTCCCACTGAGCGGGAGTTCAGGTTCACTTGCAAACCTCTCACACGTCTGCTTCCTCCCTCCCAGTATCTGCTGTGAAACAGACAGCTGGTCTTAAGTTTGGAAAGAGTCCTACTAAGTGTGACTACAAACAGAATAGGATTTGCCAATGAGAACCTTCTCTCGTATTCTGCTGATCACAAGATCACTCTGTGCAGCCTCTGCTATGGGGTTTTAATGGGGGCAGTGACATCAGGAGCCCTGGCTACAGAGACTGTATGTCTGATGGCCCACAATGCATTCCTGACCCCAAAGTGACCAGCTCCTGGTTCTGCAAAGGCACTTTCCCCTCATCCCCCTGTCTGCTGGGGACTAGGAAAGTTCAAGGAGGCAATGACCCACAAGAGCTCTCAGGATAGCTGAGCCAAATGCATAGCCCCTCATTGGCAAAGGAAAGCCTCTCCTCTGCTAAAACTCCATGCAGCAGGCTGCAAGTTTGGGGTACAATTTGGGGTAATCAGAGTTATTCAGGTACATGTGAGGTGGAGGAGGGAAAGGACTTTGGACACTTGGTAGGACACACAGCTATTAAATAAAATCAAAGCACGCCGGTAAGTTCACGTGGACTGTTATTTCCTTTAATAATGCAAAGGTGTAAACTTCATAAAGGCCTCGCTGATTATCTACACAACAGTGTTAGCATTCTTATTAGTAACATACATGATCCAAACCTGCCATATAAATATTCCAGAAAGGAGCAGAGAAACCCCGCGGCATGGGGGGCACGGGCAGCACTGAGCAGGGCGCAGCGGCTGGGAGAGCCCGGCGAGGCGGCAAGTGCTTACTCCTGTGGGGGCTCGAAGGGCCGCTGTCTTGGGGATTCCCGGTGGGGCTGGGGGCCACAGCCATCACTGAGGACGGTGTCCAGTGTGAGTGGATGTGCCCTAACACTGTCTCTTGAAAGGCATCCCATTATAAGCCATGGGGCTGCAGTGGCCTCAAAGTGCCTTTGGCTGAGGCATGCTTCGCCCGGGGTTGTGCTGAGGGGACAGGGCTCTGTCAGGCCTCCCTACGCTTGGGACTAGATCTCTGAGGAGTCCCTTCAGAAACACTGACACTGTCCCTTCCCTAGGGGCGGGACTGGGGCCAGGCCGGGGCCCCCCCTAGGGGAACATGTGACTTCTGCCTAAGATGATATCAAGAGCATGCCAGAGGCCAGGAGGACAGTGACGGGCCACTTGGGTGACGATGGATCTCTCCTTCCTTCGTCCTCCCTGCAGCTCTAACTGACCTGGGGTTTTTACACCAGGCCCAGAGGCCCCGGGTGCCTCTCCTCAATGCTCTGCCTTGAGCCTCAGAACCATGCCTGCTTCTCTTGTGCTGGTGTGAATGCAGGTCAGGGACCCCAGGCAGAGAGGTTCAAGATGGGGCTGGGGGTGCACAGGGCCGGGGCAAGAGGCGCTACCTGCCTGAGCTGCTGGAAGAGTGTGTGTGCGTGAGCCTCTAAATTGTGAGCGCTGGGGACACGGGCCTGTGCCGACCAACACCACCAGCCGTGCCCTGCAGACCACGGGGTCCCTTGGATTCCCAAAGGGAAAGACTAGTCTTCAAACATTAGAAAAAACCAAATGGAACTAAAAAATAAACCAAAAAGAACAAAAATCAAACTTCTGTGGGATGTTTAGAGATGAGATGTATAGGATGATAGGTGACCACAATGGACGGAGGTTTTATTTAGCAGAGGGTCCATCCCCAAGCGTGTACAGGATGGTACTGAGCAGGACCCGCCTGGGTCTCCATGTGAGACTTTAGCAAACACACTGATCTTTCTCTCCTGGGCACGTGGAGAGGACGCCCCCTCAAGAGCAGAGAGGACTAGCTGGCTTTCGCCAGAATTTTCTAAATGTCACTAGAGTCACTGACCAATATGGGCGGGGGTCAGGGCATTGGGGAAGTACGACAGGCTGAGTGATTCGCAGTGGGGACACTCTGGGAGGGGCCTGTTCCCCACCCATCTGCTCTGGTGAGTATGTGCGGGGTCGCGGAGTACGTGACCCATGCTGGGCTTGCAGTGGATACTTCTAACCTGGGGGCTGATGGTTATGTGACACGGTGGGTCACTGTGGGACCACAACCCCCAAGACAGGCTCTGTGCTAATCTGCTGGGCAGTCCCATTATCACTCCAACTGGGAGACGTGCATCTTTCAAAGCTGACTGGTATTGGGCATATCACAGGTTGGTCCTGTTCGCAGAGCCAGCATAAGGGGCTGGTTGTAATACCAGGACCACCGTGCCCCCCAGAACATCTGTTCAGCCCCGGAAAATGCCTAACGAATCCATTTTCTTCCACTGCATGGGCAACAGGGTGACTTACTTTGCCCATCATGTCAGCAAAATGCCCAGATGCATCAGAGCGGTTTGGCCCCCTGACCACGGGCATGTCAAGGCAAGCAGCGCCCACTGCTTTTTTGAAGGGCAGAGGGGGAGCACGGGGTTGGAATGGGGTAGGGAAAACGTGGTGATGTGGACGCTCTGATGCAAGCTTTAGGAGGTACTTAGACATTTTTCTCTGCCACATCATGTTCAGGTAAGAAAAAAAATGCAACAAGTAGCAGAGATGTGCAGAAACTTCTCTGTAAAACTAGCATGATGCTCTTCTAAAAACCGCGTTTAAAGAAAAGCGCTCCCACATATTTTTGTACTGCCATTCAAAAAGGGGGCAAACTCCTCGTGAAGCAGCATGGACGTATCTGCGAACGGTAAAATGTCTGGAGGTCCAGCTTTTTCCAATCACCAAACCTTCCTCTTCCACACAGAGCACTTGGTGGCGTGGCCGTGGCGGTCCTGACAGGTTCTTCCAAAGGGGGCAACTGATCATTCTCATGGGAACTGGGCATTTAAGCAAATTTAATTTGTGTGTGTTTGTGTTCAAATTCCTAACAGAGCAAAAGAAGAGTCACCGCAGAGAGAAGCAATGAGACAAAGGTGTAGGACGCACAGCAGCCTCCCAAGGTCGCTGAAGGTCCCAAGCAATGGGAGCCCAGAGAGAATGTGGTTGTTTAAAAACAAATGTGGCAGTGGGGATGTCCCAGTGACGCACGTCCAACGTGACATGTGTGACGACAGACGCAGGACGGGGAGGAGGGGAGAGAAGGAAAGAGAAGGTAGAGACAGAAACAGAGGAAAAAAAAATAGATAAAAAGAAAAAAAAATTAGGTCAAATACAGAAAACGCAAGAATCAAAGGTTAATTCAACTTAGTAAATTAGACTGACAAAGGTTAGGGAAGGGTTCAGTACAGTATTATTCCTATAAGGCCAGTTCCAAAGCTCAGCAAGGCCACAAGCAGCACAGCAGGGTGAATTCGGGGGTTAGGGGTCAGCGAGCAAATGAAATTACAGTGAGAGAACAGAGCCTCCACAGTAAAGTACAGGAGTTTGATTAGGAGAGTGTTACCTTCGACTAAGGCAAGGCCTCTGAGGGGCAGTCAACGAGCTTACCCACAGCCTCCTGGCCTCTAGAGCTTTCTACGCGTAGCGGGAGAGATGCGCTGTGTGCAGCAAACTGTGCTTTTTCAGTGATATATGGGACTCGTCTTCCCACTGCGCCATGGCCCCCACCCGGTTGCTCTTCAAGACGATCTCGCCTGCACCCCTCACCTTCTGCTACCGCACTGACCACAGAATCCCACCACGAGCGCACATCTTGTAGTTCAGAGGTTTTATACGCAGATCCCAACGCCACGGCCAGGAAAGTCCAACTAAGCACAGAGACACCTCCTCTTAATACGCGTGCAGTAGGTGAGCAGTCCCTCCGACCCTCTCTCGGTTAAGGGGTGCCTTAACGCCTCTGACGTCTCCACTGGGCAGGGCCCTGGAGGACAACATCTTCTCCTGTTTCTGTATCTGAATCACAGTGTCCCCACCTGCTCCAACCCCACGAGCTGATGCTGTGGGCACTACCCAACATGTGGACACAGCACGTCCAAGCAACCTGCCTGTGTCACTTAGCCCTGGCAACAAGTGCCACCAGAAGTCCGTCTTGCTGAAAAGGGGTTGCTCGAGCTTCTCCCCACCCCAACCCCCCAGGTCCTAAGTGTCCCATAAAGGCTGGGCAGATCTGGATACATTCCAGACTGTCGATTTCAATGAAAAGCTGACCAAAGAGCACAAAGAAAGAGAGGGCACAGGTTGGCAGGGCCACCCCCATGTGGACATCATATTAAGCAGTCTTGAGAGCGTTTCTTGCAGCCACACCCAAATGCCTTGCCTTTACCACTGACCATCTGCACTAAGGAGCCTCCCTGAGAATGCAGAGGGTAGGTCCAATCGACGTGTCTCATCTGTGGTTCCAGACCCACCTGTCAACTCCCTGGAGGCCCCAACAGGTCTATTGGACACACACACTCACGCACACACAACAGTCGGCCACCACACACTGGTGCCTTTGTTGCTGCACTGACTCGCACACATGCATGCCTGTGTCCCAGGCAGCCGTACCCTTTCTGTTCTCCCTCCTGCTGGGAGGTGCTGTTGTGTTAACTGAACAGAGCACCCAGGCAAGCACTGGAGAGAGGACAGGCATGATGGGGCCAGACCAAGGCCACTGGGAGACCGAAACATCTTCCCTGCCATGTTTGAACACAGCAGAGGGTTTGTGGGGCCCTTTTTCAACAGGCTGCAGCTGTATGGTCTATGCCCACCTCTCCTGCCTGAGGCCGGCCTTGGGGTGATCTGGGAAAGCAGAGAGGGGCTGAAGATCTCTCTCTGCTCTGCGGGTCTGGTCAGTGAGGGGACTAACCGTCAGCGGCAAGGTGGGTGGGCCAGCAAGCAGAACTCCCACGTTATTCCCACACTTGGGTTGGTCCCGGGTCCCTAGAAACAGTTCTACATCTCCTAGGAGAACCACTCGCATCACGGTTTCCAGCAGACTGCCTTTCACAGATGGGGTTTCCAAGCATCTACTTTCCTCATTTGCTCTGTTTCAAGTAATTCAATTTAATCTTTGTTTCAGTTGAGAGGCCCTTGGAAGATAGGCTTTTTAACTAATTGGGCACCGTCTCTTCCTTCTCTTGGGGTCCCCACAGAGAAGAGATCTGGAACATGACTGTGCAGTAAGCAAGCATCAAATAGAAAGCGCTTCAACAATTGGGTGGTCCTTGTAGGAAATGGCAGAGGGTAGATAAGGTCTCAAAACAAGATCCTTACTCAACCAGCCTCCAAGGCTTGGCTGGAGGTGGGGCTTTTCCCATCTCAGGGGTCTCGTGGACTGGCTCAGCATCAGTCCTTCAAGGCTGAATGGCACAGGACCATTGCCCCAGGAGGCTTGGCCAAGCCTTGCTGGGGGTCCAGTACATCTCAACCCACTGCACAGATAGGTACAAAGCAAAACTAAGCTTTGCATGGGCGACCGATCATGAGGATGGCTGGAAGCAAGCAAGTTGTCAGGGGCTGTTCAGGCGCATTAGGAGGTGCAGCTTTGGTGCATTAATTCAAAGCGGGAGACTCACAGAGAGCAGAGGCGGTCATACCTGGGATGGCCGTGGGCTGGGCCGAGGTCCTGAACACAAAATGAGCCGCCTTGGACTTTCCCTGCTGGTTCTCAGCCACCACGTAGACTTCATATTCAGCATTCCAGTCCAGGGACTTGAGCATGACGTGGTCACTGCCGGATGGGAGCCGGATCTCCGGTTTCCACTCCGAGGAGAGCTTCTGGGAGAAACCGGCAGGAAGGACACAAGACACCAGGAAAGTTGAGATACAAATGCTGGTGAGGCCAGCTAACTGGAAGAATTCAAGGGAGTCACTAACTATTGGTGCAAACTAATAAAAAGAAAAACCACTGATAGGACATGGCGTGCATTCTTTACTAGCCTGAAAAACCCTAAGGATTACACAGGTCAGGAGGTCACCCTTGCGTGTCTGCAAACACACAGACCTCGGCAGATAGCAGTGTGGCGCAGAGACCATCTGCCAAGCTGTGCTCTGCGTACGTGCACAGACACCCTGGAAGAGTCAAGAAACAAAGAAGCTTCTTGTCTGATTCAGGATGTTGCTCATGCTCAGTCAGGTACGTGTGACTCGCCCTCCTGGACACAGAAACACTGTATCGATTTGTTTTATTAAAAAGAAAAAGGATCAGGGGTGCCCGGGTGGCAAGGTTGGTGGAGTGTCTGATCTCTGCTCAGGTCATGATCTCACAGTTTGTGGGTCTGAGCCCCAAGTCAGGGTCTCTGCTGACAGCTCAGAGCTTGGAGCCGGCTTCCGATTCTGTGTCTCCCTCTGTCTCTGCCCCTCCCCAGCTGGCACTCTGTCTCTCTCTCTCTCTCTCTCTCTCTCAAAAATAAACAAAACATTAAGAAAAATTAAAAAGTACGATTTATTGAGCACTTGCTATCTGCCTGGCACTGTACTAAAGGTTTTCCACAATTTTCTCACTGGATCCCTACCAAGAGCCCGTGAAGTGTTTTGTCAGGCTGCACATTCATGTGGCCATAGATCACCATGTGGCCCGCGTTTAGTTTAAAACAAAGAAATTCACCTGTATGTATTCTCATTCTCTGAAAGGCTCCTTTCCTTGGCAAACTCTATAATAAAGAGGCAACCAGAATATAAAGCAAATATTGTGTTATATAAAAATATTAATAACATGTTAATGATATCTAGCAAACACTGAGTGTTTGAAGTGCAAGACAGACGAACACAGGGCAGGTAAGGCTATCATATCTTGGTGTTCTGTCCCTGCTATATTTTTGTGTGTGTGGGCGGGGGGAGAGAACGGATGAGTGGGGCGGGGCAGAGGGTGAGGGCGAGGGAGGATCTTAAGCAGACTCCATGCTCAGTGCCGAGCCCGACGCGGGGGTAGATCTCAGCACCATGAGATCACGACTTGAGCCGAAATCAAGAGTCGGACGCTCAACTGACTGAGCCCCCAGGGGCCACTCCCCGTTGTCTTTTTAATACAGACCTGCCTGACACAGCCACAGTGGCTCTTCTGGAAAACTGACATCTCAGGTGGCCTCATACGGGAGGTGTCTCCAGACCCAGCCAGCATCTTCAGGGTAATTATTGTTGTTACCATGTACGGGGGGTTTCCAAGTGTTAGGCACATTTCAGGCTCTTTGTTTATATTATTCCTGATCTGTACAATAATGTAAGAAACTATTTTATCCCCATTTTCCAGATGGAGAAATGGAGGTTTTGGAAGACTGGGCTTGCTGGTAAGTGGTAAAGCTGAAACCAGAACCCATCTGTCTGGGCCACATGAGCATAACAAGGGCCAGACACACACTGTCTACTTCCTGCGGGCTGTGCTGGGCCACCACTCAATCCTGGCATCCTATTCCACAGCGAGGAAGCCACAGTGGTCGCTCTTACAGGGGTGTCTCTAGGCTGGGCCTTAGAGACGTTAGAGGAGGCTCTTCATCCGATGTCAGGCTCATGCCTGACTTCACAATTGAGTGCGGAAGGGCTGAGTGGAATGACAGGTCTGCCCAGCAGCTGGCAGGGAGGTGGGGGGGGGGGGGCGTGTGCCTGGTAGGGCTCTGCTGTAATGACTCTCCATTAGGCCCAACCAGGTAAGAGCTCACACATCATTTCAGTGGGGGCTGATCAAAAGAGAGGGAGTGAGTCAACTTCCTTGAAAAATCCTTTCTTGGGGGCGATTGGAAGAAAGAAAACTGCTCTCTGGTTCGTTATCTCTTACTGGTAAGAAATCCTAGCAAGAGACTCTTCCCAGTGTTCAGATTCTGCCTCTAGATCTCTCAGCAATTGACTCTGGTTGGCAGTGGCCAAGTACCATTCTAAAACCAGAGAAACAGAGTGATTCTCATTTTGGGGGATGGAGATGACAGGCGGCATGACAGAAATCTTAGATGGTGAGCAAACCAGGAAGAAAGGGTTCAGGGCCAAGCTCACTGTTAGCAGGATTAGAATAGCTCAGGTAGCTGTGAGGGGCAGGTGGGAATACCATGGTTTGGGATGGCAGGGCAGCCTAGGGCAGGGGCTAACAGCCCAGGGTCCGCAGACAGACCTGGATTCAAACTCTGCCCACCCAGGCATGAGAGATCAGGCCGTTACTGAATGGATATAGTACTTCCTCTGTAAAGGGCAGATGATCATAAGAAGAGCTTCATCAGGTTCTCGTGGGGAGAAAATCACAGTGCCTGGCCCATAATACAGTTTACCAAATGTCCTGATTATGAGATACCAGTATATTATATGCAGAAGCTACCGGGTAATTGCAAAATCACTTTGTAGAAATGTTCAAGAAGCAGAAAAATCAATCAGGGTATGAGTCTGTCGCCACAGTGATTTCAGAGGTTTTGAAATGATCCCCGTGTAGACACGGCCTGATGGCTGTAGGTCGATCTTGGGATTTAAAACCCTGAGCAGGGCCCCTGAGCCCTGCAAGACACAGAAGGACTCTGTCCTGCACTACTTCCCCCTTTGCCCCCGGGATGTGCATGCTGTTGCCCCAACAAGGTGGGTGTGACAGCTGCAGAAGCAGGTGAAAAGGGGACAGGAGCTACTCACCGCTCGGTACTTGACCAGGTAGTGCCTGATGGGGGAGCCGCCGTCATCCTGTTTGATCAGATTCACCTTAATAGAGTTTCCATCCTCTCCCATCTGCCCTTCGAGTTTAGGTGCACTGGGTTCCCCTGAAACAGCCAGTTAATTCATGTGACATATTCGCCCACACGAAGAAAATCCAACCCAGAATGGGATGGAGTGATGGGGTGGGGCTGGGCTCTTTCTTGCTTTCTCAGAAATTCAAATGGTTAAAAAGCAATAAATATAAAACTTCCGATTCCAGTGAGATACCTCAGACTTAGCTCCAAACTGGGAGTGACTTTTGGGAATGTTCTGGGAAACCCTATTAGCACAGTCCTTTTACCATTTTAGAAACAGGATTTTTTAAAAAACTGTTTCTCACTGGTGCTTGCATTTCCTTTTTGCTGTTCTTACAACCGCAGATTTTACTTTGATGAGCCTGATGCATTCTGAGGAACAGCCTGAAATACAGGCAAATGTGCGTAAGTGTTTAAAGGAGAAAACCTACACCCATAAAATAATTCTTCACAGCAGCCAGTTTCTTCCCTGGATACGTGATTCATCTCAGGGGGCTGGGGGACCCATCCCTGATGGGGACGGAATGACACTGCATTCTTGCGACCAGCTTTCCATGAGTTAAATTGCATTACTTAGACTCATTCATATAAAAACATGACAAGTTTCCAGGTGTGATTAAATAAAGCACAATTTGCCACGGGCGAGTCTCCTGTAAGCATCCTGCATTTACGGCTCAACTGCCTGAGTGATCATCCTTGGTACCTTGTTTAAAGTAGCAATCATGAAAGTCTTTCTGTTTGTGAGCAGAGAGAGGGAAAAAATGGCTTCAGCATTTCTCAGCAGAAAAAAGTCGATGTCTCTACCTGTGGTACACACTCAGCTCGTGTGAACGCGAGACAGAGGAGGAAGGTGAGCTCGGTACGGACAAATTACCAGAGGTGGGGTGCTTCTTCAGTAAGTAAGACGCCGGTGTTCTTTAAGAGAAACGGTTTCACTAGTGTGTACTGGGAGTAAGGACGTAAGATAATGTCCGGTATGAAAAAGCTAAAATGAAGATTTAACGCATTCGGGAATTCCGCACTTCCTTCAAAGACACACATCTCTGTGTCTACTTCATGTCCTCAGACAGAAAATTGGGAGAGCCTACAAGAAGTCACCTTCTGGGAGGGCTGTCCTGGCTCGTTCACTGGAAGACAGAATCACAGACCTGTGACCAAAGAACCCAGAAAGGTTTGTCGCCAGGCTTTGGACCTCATCACCCCAAGGTATACCTCTGGCCATTTGTGGCAAGGCTGCTGGCAAAGCCACTCAGCCCACCTTCCTCATTCAGCTACTCTGGGAACCTCACACTGGCCCTGTGTCCTGCTCCCCACTTTGAGACGAGGAGGAACCAGACAGGGAAAGCTATTGGCCAGCCCTTGCTGCTCAGCCTGGGCCTGTAGCACGAACCCCACGTGGCAGCTCCTTAGACATGCAGATTCCGTTTCAACAAGATCCCAAGGTGATCCTTGTGCACCTTTAGGTGATGGGGACACACAGAAGCTGACAGGGAAGGTGCATCCCCTTAATGTCAGGGGTGATTTAGGAAGTCAGGCTTGTAACTGGTGTTCCTCCATCAGCAATTAAAAAAAAAAAAAAAACAGGAAAAAAAGGACAAGGTTTTAGGCAAAGACTTGTCCTGTTTTCATGTCGCTATCCAGCTGCTGGTCCCAACTATTCTTTGGAAAATTCTTAGGAATTTGGTTTCGATAATGTCAAGGCAGGTATGCTTTTCAGATTCTTTCGGACCATCCTAAGCCTTAGACAACAGTTGTGTCTTATATCATTGTAAATATCCAGGGCTAGAAAGGAACTCAAACAAAGTGGAGGATATTTCAGAACCGGGCAGGTCTGCACAGTCACAGATGGCAGGAGTAGGCACAGTTGAACTGGATAGCTCTGTTCTCTGAATGCAGGGGACAGACTGGTTCTGGCTGGCCTGGGACTTCCAGGTGTGAGCCTCACAAGTCCTGCACTCAGGCTGACTGGGAGAGCTCATGGCCCCAGACTGAATGGGGATGGACATTAACGAGGACTTTTGTATTCAGAATTGCAGCACTGACTCTGTGATGGTCGATTTGCCTTAAGGAGGGAAGGCAGTGGCATCAGTGGCCCTTCCAACACAGTCATGGGGCGAGGACCCGGTCCTTCCCCCAAAGCTTCCTTGGAAGGTAAACGGAGATTAATCTGCTGGGGCTGCTCTGGCTACACTTTCCTTAGGATTTCCTTCCAGATTTGAGCAGCATGGGTTTCAAGGCTGAATCAAGACCACAAAACACTGGACCCTGCTTTGGGAGTGGGTGGGGGGGGGGGTTGTATCTACTTAGAAGAGGTACTCTCTTTCATGTTTGTGGGGATCCCTGTAAAACTGAATGCTTGGACAGGCCACTGCCTCAGTACCCACGTTTGCAGAATCCATGCCCCGAACGAGGTGTTCTCCAGGGCCCCCCTCTGGCTCTGACAGCACTGTGACCCAATGACAGTCACTGTGTTAGGACAAACTATCAAGAACACCTTGGCTATTTTCAAAACACTGTGAAAGACGCAAAATAAGGATGGTCCTGCCAATTTCGGGGCAATGTATCCCCAGATCAGCAATTCCACATCTCTAAGGCACAGGGTTGTCCATTTTTCTTTACAATTTAAAAAGTTATCCTCCCCAAAGTCCTATCTTTGCAAAGAGACCCCAACTGTCTTCAGAGACATGGGAACAAATATCTTGCCAAGGATTCCCTGCAGAAACTAACAGCCCCGATGAAAGTCAAATCTTATCTTTGGATGTGTTTCAGAAAAAATATGATTGGAACCACAAAGAAACCACTAACAACTATTCCACAGAACACAGTTCTAACATTTACCAAAGTTGGAACACTATCATTGCTATTTTATTGGAGCGACTACCATGTTATTCTGATATACGTGTATTTCTTTCTTACAGAATGTAGAGCATGGCATATAATATTTACATGTATCATTTAAAGTGCTTTAACTATGATTTACTCAACAAACGTTTACGGAGTACCTACCTCCCAGGTACCAGATAATCTCTTAGGCATTGGGGTTTCAAAGGTAAACAAGACAAAGTTCGGTTTGTCAAAAGAAAAAAACCTAGTTATGATCAACTCTTTTTAAAAATGGCGGGGCCCTTGTATGGAAAGGTAACCCTTCCTGTGACGGTGTTTCTAGAGGAAGATGACTTTCAACTAACATCAGAGGGATTCTGACCAACTCTACACAACTTGTAGTCACATAAAGGTGGAGAAAGAGCAATATTTAAACAATTGTCTTCTCCATCTTCAAATGCACGCTCTCTGTCCATTTTTCTCAAGATAACGAATAGGCTAAAGGAATTGCTTCCTGAGCTGTCGGCGAAAAGGAGACTCTAGCCATACCTGATGAGGGATGGGCTGACCCTGAAGAAATGGGGCCTTGGCATTTGGGTGGCTCACTGCTTTGCTGAACACATTAGGAGAGGAAATTATTTAGAGGGTCCCAATGTGCACTCTGTTCTGAAATGGCTGCCCTGATTGAAATCATTATGGGTAATTTCCGCAAAACCAATATTGTAATTATTTGTAAATGTTGGTTTGTGATTCAGCAGCAATCGGCAGGTTGCTCCAAGAAAACCCCTGCGGTTAATTACACCTTCTGAATTTAGCTTCAGCCATGAGTCAAATTTTGCCCCCAAATATTTCACGTAAAGACTCAAAACAACATCACCTTAAAAATAAGCCTTGCCGATAACAAATATAAAATATTAGGCAACTCTGGTATTTTCTAGAAGTGTGTAAATCACGGATGCAAGAAAAGAAGAATGTACCATCGAGACCACATACAGTCAGAAATGTGGCAGGCTCGTCCTATAAGTTCCTCCCAGAAATCGTAATTGAAGTGTGTATTTCTGGCCTTGCAGATTGTAGGTTCTTTGTAATTTGTGTGCTATTGTGCCCTAAAATCTGAGTCAGCTTCAATTCCTTCCCCTCGTCAGCACAAGTCCGGAGGTCAGAAAACTACTGCTGGGTACCTGAATTCCACAACAGAAATTATAGCAGGCTTAGGGGGTCTGGACAGCATCTGTGAATTTTAGAAGGAAAACAATCTTCTACTTCTTACTCAAAAATGCCCAAGTACCAAGAAGTATACCTTCTGACTGAAATGCCAAGGTGCCCCATGGCATCCCTGACAGAGGCCTGACCTGCATTCTTTTTTCCTGACCTTTGCTTTCTCTCCCACAGGGACCTGCACAGACTTTGGGGCCTCTGAGTATAAACCAGGGATGGAGATAGGGCTTGCATTAGAATCTATCACATTTTCCATCAAACAGGATTGTCTGGCATCAAAAATACTGTTACTTTTGTTTATCTTAACTCCTGTTCCCCTTTGGTCCATTACACCCTGCAAGCAATGTGAAACTTATGTATGCCTTTTCTATTATTTGTTTAGAAGAGTACAAAATGCATGACTTGGCTGTTCAAGTATGAAGCCCATTTGATTTTTCCCAACTCAGGAACATTCGAAATTACATCAAGAGGTTAGACGTTTGATCGGCCTTAGGATCTGTAGTTAGGAGGCTGCTGATTGTCCTTCCTAAGACCAGGCTCTTTGCCGAACAAATGAATCTAGGGGATCTGTGCTGCTTTCATCCTTGGAGCCTCAAACACTCTGGGACGCCCCCTGTGACAACCCGCCTGGCTGAGGGGGCTTTCTGACAGTCCCGGCGAGCGGCTGTCAGTCCGAACACACCCAACCCCGGACGGGGTTCATTCTGTCCTAAGCATTGCTCCTCCAGATCGGGCCTGGGGAATAAATGCTCCTTTTCTCCTGAGCTCTTTCCTCCTTGTTGTCAAGAATATGCTTGTGCCGGCGCCAGCTGACTCATTGCCATCCCGGTCTCCGGCTCCAAGGAACGCCAAGGGATGCAGGGAGTGCGTATAAGCCATGGCCAATTCCCTGGCTCTCCACAGAAAGGACGCGTAGCCCTGTGGCCACGCTCATGGGGGCATCCGTCCTACACATCCCTCTCAAATCGGGCTCCTCAGGAACTACGAACATGAGCGTGTGAGCTGGGGGTGGGTGGGGAGGCCAGTGGCAGGAAGGGATATGAACTGAACAGCCAAAGATGAACTCTGACAGACTGAACCACAGAGATACCAATTCCCTTCTCGTGGGTGTCATGAAAACACCACCAGATTAGCTGATCAATTATCTCTGTTTCATCATCATCCTAAAAATGAAAATAGGACCACGAAGGTATGGCTTGTGGTTATGGGGCTGATCCAGGCTGAGGAAGTTAGGACCCAAATAACCTCCAACAATTAACTCGGCTCCCGCTTGCGAGGCCGCCAAGGGGAGTCTGTGCACATCTTCAACACGATTTCACGGACATTAGGTTACTTATAAAGAAGTACAAAGCTCCTGGGAAGCCCTAGGGAAACGGGCCCTTTGCAGAGCCCCCGGCCTCTGCCCCTAGGATTCGGGCTGACACGCGTCACTGCCTCCCCTCTGCAGACCCTTCACGCTAGCTCTCTACCCTGTAACCGCCAGTGCGGGGAATCCTTAAGAATAAAGGCAATTAGAGCAGAGCCCTGGTGAAAAGTCTATGTCGACCTGCCAGAGACCGTGGCAATCCAGACACACAGCTGTAAAAAAAAAAAAAATAAATAAATAAAGGAAGGAGTGGAAGGGGTGGTTAGTGATGTTTTCAATCTAAGAAGGAAGAGTGGGTGTTAAGGAGCTTAGTTCACCAGAATCAGCATGTCCTAGTACGAGAGGCAGTGTCAGTAGCTAAAGAAAAGAAGATCATTATGAATGGGGGGGGGGGGGGGGGGGATCCATGCTAAAACAAACAGCACACTGACAGAGGGGCTCAGGGGGCTTCTCATCACACACATGCTGGCGGTGGGAAGGGTGGGGAGGCCCGTTTACTTACACAGAGTCCTCATAGGTGACAGAGTCACTGGAGGAAGGAGGCCCGGCCACGACGAGGTGCCGTGATATTAAAAATCAACTTGGCACAGGAGCATCTTAGCTCACCACAGCAAGCCCACTCCTGGGATCCTGGGACAGGTGCCTAAGTTTCCCCATCATGAACCCCTATTTGCAAAGCTCTACAGGTTCAGGACTAAGGGAGCCAAGGGCATGGCGTCCAATGCCTGTTTTCACCTCCCTTCTGACCCCGTGCTGCCGAACCCAGTCAACACTGTGGACGGGAGCCTGAGATTTACACAACATGCAGCCTGTGTCAAGGGCATCCTAGAGGCAGTGTGTGTGTGCGTGCGCGTGTGTGCAGGGGGCAGTGGTGGAACAGGAACTGGATTTCATCACCTGTCGGATGTACACCCCTCTGCTGGGAGATGCACCTGCTCACTTACCCATCCTCAGGCCCCACTCACCTGAAAGCCTTGCTAGTGTTCAGAGAAAGGAGGCAAGCACTGTTTTTCACGAAGCTTCATTTCTCTCCGTGAATTTTACTCGCTACGACCCTCTCCAGTCCCTTAAATTGTATTATTAAGGGCCATTTCTGGCTGCTTGCTGCTTATCTGAATAATGAGTCCTCCGCCTGTCCCTTTGCAAATGGTAAGAGAGGGTCTGTCACAGAAGGGAATGTGGTTTGACAAGGGGGTAATCATACTTTCGAATTCTACAGGCACTTTGATTTTTTTTTTTTTTTTTAGCACTGGCCACATTTTTACTGACACCCAAGACCATTGCTACAGTGCATTTCTGGGGCAACCGCAGGAAACATCTTCAAACATTTCTTGCCTTGCTTAAAATGTCTGGAAGAGATCTCTGTCCAGAGGGGTGGATCTGTTTCAACCTTGCTCATGTTGTGCTCTGCTTCATCCTGAATTCTAGCACTGTACAGAAATAACCAAACTTGTTTTTAGGAAAGAAACGAATGGGTTTCAACCCAACACCTCACCCTTCAGATCTCAGGGAGAAAATCCGGGTTTTCCCTTGGAACAGTCATCTCAAGTCTTTAGAAGAACACAGTCCCCCTCAGAGAAATAATGAAACCACAGGATGTGCAGTGAGACTCGGGAGTTTAGAAAATCTTAGGCTCCCAGTATCCCCTACCCTAAGGTTCACAGATTAGGTTGCCTTTTGAAGGTAGGTCAAAGTCATCAGCACGTCAGATGTTCCCCTGCTCTGGGGACACACCCACTTAGTTTCAGACAGCATAAATACCACACATCTTTTTGGAAGTGACAGACGGCTCCAACCCAAGACCTCGTCCAGGAGTCTGGTTGTAAACGGGACTCAACATGGGCACAGTGACCACACCCAGAAAGCTGACGTCCTCAGAGGTGGTCAGTGTGCAGGATGAGCAAGGGGGAGCATCCACAGGGCTCACACGCACAGGGGCACAAAATGAGAGGACAGACCAGGAACAGAGAACATGCATGCAACAGCTTTGGATGGTTTTGTCTGTGTGAATGTCGCCCAGTCAGTTCCTTGGAGACGTGAGGCCAGACGGGGACCCCTCGCATGCACGGGCACACTGGGCGGTTATTCGTGTTAGTCTGGCTTTCGTGATCAGTGCAGCCTAGGTGTCTCAGGTTGTGATGTGACGTAACAATTTTCAGTTAGAAGAGAACAGAATGCATGTGACTCCCAGGGCAGGTTTTGAATAGGTGTTTGATTTTACAGTGGGGAAGTTGCAAGCAGAGGCTTCCTTTTCTCTTTATGGTAAACGAGAAATGTTTTCACAAGGTTGTGACAGTCACAATATTAACTAATTATTTTGTCACGGCTATGCGCTTAATTAGGCTATAATTTTATTTCCTTTGCTGCAAGGGTCAATCATGTGCTTCTTGATTACAAAGAGATCTCCAGTCATGGTTAAGTGCCAACTTTTGCTTTGATTTCTAACCCCCACTGTCCAGGGGGGAGGGTCACTCTTAAAAAGTGACACATCAACAATGCAAACTGCTTTCATTCCAAATTCTTAAATCTCTCCCTTCAGAAAGTCCTCAATTTGCATGAATTTTATGAAGCACTCTCATTGGTTTTGAGCAAATAGAACCTTTGCAATTGATACACTTCTCTCTGTAGCATTTCAGTGTCGTAAACAGATACATTTCACATTTTCACAGAAATGACTCATTTTAGAGCAGCTGTGGTTTTCAGAACTACTGGATAAAGTTAAACAACAATGTCATAAAGGTCACTGAAAAAAACCGCTTTCTGGGAAGTAATTTTTATGAACTCTCTGGTAAAAATTCAAGTTTGCAAACTGCGTGGTGGTAAATGTGGTTTTGCTGTGGATGGCAGTTTGTAGGGCCAAGTTTCTTGGAGCGAAATGTTAAACCAAAGCCTGCCACGGTATCAAATTGTCATGTCAAGGCTGCAAAGAATTGATGGATTCTAGAGGTGAACTGAGAACAAGAGGAAATCTCTCAAATGGCTTCGCTTGGGAAATCTGAGACGGGAAGAAATGAGTGGGCCCTAGGTGCCAGGCTGTGGTCCCAGGTTTATTTCCCTAATCAGAACAAAGAGTTTTACCTTCTGTTCACCAGCGTGGACGACATCATCAGCACCATGCAAGCCACATGACAAAGTCACATGATACGCACGCACATGATTGGTTGAAAGGAAAGTGGAGGAGGTCACATGGAAAATACAAAAAAATTAAAAACTGATGTAAACAATGGGCAGGGAGAAAAATCAACAACAAAATCACAGACTAAATAAAAGGAGAAATCAAATTAAATTAGCAGCATATATAGGAAACATTGGGAGGACAGTAAAACTGCCCAGAAATAGAAGAATAATAAATCGTAAAGAGCATTTGGTTAACGACACCAATAAGCATTAGATACAGCTGCAACACTGCATATTAATACCACATCAAGGAGTATGTAAACTTGTTTGGAAATAGGGAGGTGTTTCTGCCGGGACCCAGATGTCAAAGTCAATCCAGGAGACTGCTGAAGGAAAAAAAAAAAAAAAAGAAGCAAGTTATTATTCACAGATTCCAGAAATCTCTCGGCATCCTTTGAAAACGAGGGCAATCAAGGAGAACATGGGTCGTGCAGGAGAAGTCTCCAGACTGTGTGTCCTGTAAGAACAAAATATTACGTTACACAGAAAAGCCATTGCCTGTTTCCTTTGGTGCATGAGGAGAGGGGGACTGGGTGCAGGCCAGAGGAGGCAGCCCTGGGGATTCCCTCCTCGCTTTCCAATTCATCTACCCGCGTTATCCCGGAGCTCCCAGTGACAGCCCCGTTGAGACACCTGTGAAGGCAGGGTCTAGTCAGTGCACAAAGGGACGAGGTTTCCTTCTGGTGGTCAAGACGGTGGCTCCATCAACACTGAGGAGCGAAACTGAACGGACCCCCTGGCCCCACGAGCTAAGACTCTGACCCTGACCAAGTGCTTGGGCATTGGTGGACACAGTTATCTCTCCAGACTTGTGGCTGCACTTGATAAGATATGGATTTGATTGTGATCATTAAAAAAAATGTTTGGATTTGTCCACGTTCCTTTTTGTCATCTGTTGTATTTATACTCTAATTTGTTACTGAATGACCTGCCTTGTCCAAAGGCAGTTTGGGTTTCCTGCCTTCACTTGCACAGGCCAGGGGAAGATCAGCGAACTGCCAGTTGAAGCTAAGAGAAGGGCAAAGAGGGGAGGCGGAGAGATCTTTCTGTCCAGAGCACGACCACTGCTTAAAAATAATGCAAGAGAAATATGCTTCAGCCCCGTTACATATTCTTGACGCTCTGAGCGGAGGGAGGCTGTGCTTCCTACTGTCTGAAACTGTACAGGCTCTGGCACATTCCAACCAAGGGTATCCTGCGGGGATTACATTCACCTGATCAGTTTCTCTTTTGATTTTATCTAGGACACCTTCGTTCACTCAGAAGTATAAATGGATCAGCACACACACACACACACACACACACACACACACACACACACTCCATAGCAAAAACAGGAGACATTATTTATTTTCATCCCTATTGATTGGCTGACGATCAATGGATTGTTGTACGCATCTAGCTACTCTGCTCTTAGCTCCACTGTATTCACACGTGCTACCTTTTGCCTTATTGTTGAGGAATGTGCTCATGCCAAATACAGGCTGCTGCCCAAGTGTGACGGTCTTTCCTTCATCCCAGTATCCACTGGGACTTAAATTTAGGTCAGTAGTCCAATGGCGCACGCGCACGCTCACACACACACACACACACACACACACACACACACACAAGACACTTTCTTCTCTTTGATGTCACTTTCTAGGCATTTTGTCTGTGGACAGAAACGTCTGATGTTTAAAAAGTAAACATCTGTCAGGGGAGAACACCTAATTCCTCCTTAAGGATAAATCTGGATTCAAGGTTCCAGGGAGGACCAATCTACAGTGAGACACCTTAAGTATGACCGAGCTGTGCAAATGCATTACATAGCCTACAATGCCAGGTCCACACACCACACCAAGCTGGGAAGACCAGGAACACGGCTGTTAGAAGAAGAAAGGGTGCTATTAATTGCATTCTTTTTCCCAAATGCAAAAAACAAACAAAAAACAACCCACCCCCAAAACAACCCATCATCTGAGTGAAGCCCGCACAAGCACAGTTCCATGTCCCCTGCTCTGCTCTGCCGACAAAGTGAAACCTGAAAAGCATCAGGAATTAAAATTCATTGCAGCACACACACAAAGAGAACACCAAGAAAGCAGACCCTCAGCTATGTTCTGCAGCAGAGAAAAGAACCATTTCATGCAACACACAGAACCAGGAAACTCTTTTCTTCTCTGTTCAATTATGTATCAGAAACCCTGGCCCTGGGAGCGGGAGCGAGTGGGAGCTATATTTTGCATACATGCTTTCTGCCTTCTCTGGCTACTGCTCCATGGATGCATGTCATTTCTTCCTGTGCACTCAGAAATATAGGATCTAAACCCCCACATGGCCATGGAAACTGCTGTAAACACACACACACACACAGGGGATCCTGTTGACTTGGGACTTAAGGCCTAACACACAAGCTCACCTCATTAGAGCATTATAAAGGCAAGCTTGGAACATGTCACAGTTGTGATGAAGTGTAATGTTTTCCACAAGTCTGGCCCCAACTGTACCCTCAGCAGATGAATTCCAGAGCTCTGATCTGGACTCTGGGTAACAAACTTGAGGGGGCTTGGCTATGCTTCCTGGGGCCACCATTTTCCTAGCTCTGAGGAGGAGGGCTGTGTGGAGGCCTCTGCCCCCCTGTGCCCTGTGCGTTCTTCATGACCCCTTGCCTTGCCTCAAGGTGCCACGAAGCAGGGCATGCTGTCAGGAAGTAGCAGCTCCTGCCCTCTCGGCTGCCCCCTCCACCTCCCACCTCTCTATTTTTCTCTATTCCTTCCCTTGTTCTCAGTCTTGGCAACGTGCGCGCGCGTGCGTGCGTGCGTGCGTGTGTGTGTATGCATGTGTGCCACGCTTCAGAGGGGAGGGACAACTAAAGCGGGGAAGAGACGCTGTTCTTTTGTCTCCTTGGTGTTTCTCTAATCCTATTCTGTTGTTTCACACAAAGGGAAATTTGGAAAACTCTCTTCATGCAGAATGTTCTTCACATAATCACCCCAGCTCTTCCTGGTCTCCTGGCCACGCAGACAGCATGCGTAGGAAACCACACCAGGCGGAGAGCCTCCATGCATTCACAACTGTTACTGTTAATACAAGGGACAATGTCAGGCAGCACCGTGACCCAGAAGTCAGCTCGGCAACAAGCAGCAATCTGGCCAAGAGCCGCCATAACTCTATACTCACTAGACGGTTCTGTGGTTGGGAGGGCAGGAAGAGGCCAGGTTGCTATGGAAACACGAAGGGCAGACAGGGCACAGAGAGGTGAAGGAGAGAATGGAGATATAAATTATATTCATAAGTAAACATATGACTGTGTTTATATACATATATAGACATTATTATAAAGAAAAGCAGGGGATATTCTCTCATTTCCTCCTTCCCTGATTTATCAGTATAAATATAGAGATTTTAAAAAAAATTATCAGAGATCTTGCTGACAAATCACTCTCCTGTGGCGAGAAAAAACATATTTACTCATTTACCCTCATTTACTCTGACCACAAATTCCAGCTACTATGTGCTGGGTACTGTTGTCTTGGGTTTTTCATACTTAGTCTTGAATTTTCACAGCTACCTATGAGACAGGTAGAATCTATCATTTGAGAGATACGAACTCTGGCGTTCAGGAGGCTGAGTGACTCATTCAGGGTCATGGAGCTGTGCAAAGAGGGAGCAGACGTGGGATTTGAACCCAAGGCTGTTTCTGGTTCTCAAGCCCGAATGCCTGCTGTTCCAGCCACTGCCGGGACATCACCACCTGGTGTGGCGGGGCTGTTTCTAAGCCAAACAGATTCAACAGGCGGCTTCTGAGTGAGGGCCTGAGTTGCCTCCTGAGGCTGTGCCCAACGTGCAGCAGCTTCTGATACTCCAGGGAGGATACAGCCAGGTGGGCGGTGCCTGCCCCCTGCCTGCCCCCGACGGCTGCTCTGGGCACCTGCTGGCATGACAACTTGGGCCTCATGCAGCTGCTGTCTCCCTTTGCTCTCCACGCACCAACCCCCAACACACACCAAAAGCTGGGTTCAAAACTCCGAGTCAGAGGCACAGAGCTCTCTCCTGAGCCCCCAAGGGAACAGAAGGACAGGGCAGCCAAATGAAACAAGATCATAAATGAGCGAGGCTCAGTCAGGAATGACGAAGCCTGACGCCAACCAGGTTTGGCAGTCCTGCTTCTGGGTGGGCAAACACAGCTTGGTGAGCGCTACAATGTTTTTTTTTGGGGGGGTGGTACGGGAGGAGGGCCATTTACTCATCCTATTTTATGGAAGAGAAAAACAAGGCTCACTTGTGAAGGGTTAAGTAACTTGCCTGAGCGCCTACGGCCAGGCACATCTGTGAGCAGACACTGTTTATTTTCCCACAAATATTTACGAGACAAGTATGCATTTATGGAGAAAGTGAAAGCTACAAGCCTCGCTATCTAATTTCAGTGTCTGAATCCAACTGTGCCAATTAAAATGAAGGGTGAAAACACAACACCCCAAAGCATTTCTTATGACCCTGCTGAACAGATATTTTCCTTGGCAAATTCCTTTGGTTTCTCCGAATGTCAGCTTGAGTCCAGCCTGGGAAGAATCCTGAGGACAGGGCCTGGCTGGGCTGCACCGGCCCCGGGGAAGCCTGGCTGCACGATTTTCAGTCCAGAGCAATGCCTGTCACTTGCCTACTCTCCATCTGGGGGTGTGGGCGGGGGGTGGCGAATGTGGGACGCTCTGTGCCTTCCTCTCTTCTCATTTGCTTCTCTAAAACCTAGTGCTGCTTTCTGCCAACAGAGTTGAATTATCACCTGGTGAAGGAGATAACATTACGCAGACCCACCGTGGCTGGTGGAAAAGCAGCCTGCGGAGAGACGGATGAAGAAAATGATACTCACTATTGGGATGAGACAATGGAGCGGGGGTGGAGGAGCTAGTAGGAGCCGCTGAGGAAAGAAACATGAAGGTAAAGAAAAAAGAGAAGAAAAAAAAGCTCATTGAGGCACAGATACTGAATGAAAAAAAAAAATGGAAGAGTCACCCAAGGGTGTCAATGGCAGGAGCTGAAGCGGGTTAAAGCAAGGAGGAAAAACACCATGCATGAGGGCAGGTGGCCTGCGGGCCAGCGGAGAGCAGGGCTCTCTGACTTCGGACCGAAAGCCTGTGTCTCTGCCAAGCCCCAGGGTTCAGGTAAGGGACGGGGCCAGGAGCAGCAGCAGAGGCCTGCAGCCCCGCCTGAAACAAACAGCCGGTTCAGCAGGACCAGCCGTCTCCATGCGATCACATGTCAGGAGGAGAGGGAACCTGGAGCCCGGCTTAAGGCGAACGTGGAAAAAAAGAGGCTTTGGCTTTTCACATGCTAGATGTCCATATGCGCTCCTGTACAGGCCGATGTCTCCACTCCAGGCGTGTGCGTGGAGCAAAGCCTGTAAGCCTCATTCTCTAATCTCAATGTCCCAATGACACAGAAATGACCTTCCTACTCAAAGTTTACTACTGGGCGAGGTCCAGGATTGTTTGGCATCTGGATGATACTCTAACCACCACTGCCCTCCAAAACCCTATACGGGTTCTCCAGATGCTGCTGTGAGCATTACTCTCGCTCTCTCTTGGACAAAGGGATGCTAAAGAGACTGGAACTAGATAAGTAACGCTCACCCCACTTTCGGCTTGGAGGACCGTCAGCGAGGGCTCATCTGAGGCATCCTGGACACTGAACAGATGTCCAGTTTTCTGCTGGCAAATATTCTGAGGTTGTCCCATCAACAATCACAAAACAAAGCTCCCTCTGGGAGCTGGATGAAAATCTGAAAAAACATCACCGTATCTCCAACACTGCCTGGACACTCATGGTTTGGTCTTCCTTTTCCCTCCCAGATGAGGCACCTCATTAAACCACGTGAGTACAAGGTCACCGGAGTCAGAGCAAGATGGCCTACTAACTCATGGTGACTTGATGGTCTGGTTAATTCATGTGACAGTGTATCTCTTTTACTTTTTTGGCTTCAAATGTTTGCATACCTGTCCATATTATTCTGGAAAAGGGGTGGAGTTTTATCTGTCTTAAACACAATATATTAGAATATGTTTAATTTATACTTGCAGTGTGCCATCTAGGGGGCAAAATTTTGTGAAAACAAACATCTCAGGATGCCTCTTTTACAAAGGAGAGACTCATTCATAATCTGTACACCCTGAAAGAAATGGTCTATTTTGCTTCACAGTTCAGAAGCAAATTAAGAGGTAAACACTCAGGCAATGAAATTCTGAAGGCGTGTGGCTCAATCACAGAGAACAGGATGCACGCTCAAATGTCACATCATCGGGTTAGGGCCTCGGCAGCTTTGATAGGGAAGCAGCCCCTCCCAAGGCAAACGGAGGTTGTGAGCTTTCCACCGTGACAACACGCAGACATCTGGCCTAAAAAGACATGAAGCAGGGACATCTTTCCAGGCTGCAGTTCTATCTGCTTGTTTGGAGTCACAGCTGCCTCGTTACCTTCACACACATGTACGAAAGGGACACAAAGGAATCTTCAAACAGGTGAACCGTGCTTTCTAATATGGCAGCTCAGAAGCAGGAGCTCTCTGAGGTTACCTGTGGCTTTGGCACGTTCATGCCCCCGAAGGTGGGTAAGTCTATTAGGGAGCCGGGAGAGCAACCCCATTATTGGCACATCTCAAGGAACTTCAAGAGGTAAACGAATGTAAAGTGCACTGGCTTTCACCTACTGCCTCCTAACCAGGGGGTGGGGGATGGAGGATGGGGTAGGGTGTCTGGCAGCAATGACTCTCTCTGTTCAGCATGACGGCGTGTTGACCCTGGGTACCTTCTCTCCCTTGGGGTGAGTGTGCACCTAGGGCCTAACTCCAGCATCACGGGCTCAGGCTGTCCACGCGCACCCCAACATTATAGGAGGGGAAAGCACTGCCAACAGGCGAGACGAGCCGGTGTCAGAAACCAACGCTGCTGGTTCTTGGGCTTGGTGTAAGCATGCAGCTAAACTGGTGGCTGATTTCACACAAGCTTTGTGCCTTCTGAGGGAGGGAGAACTCAGAGAAGTCCCTCCTAAAACGTGCCCTCACTTGCCAGTAGCAGTCAGTCAGTGATTTTGTCATAGGCGTGATAGATGCTGGAGTTGCCCTTCCAACTGTATTCTTCTTCAGGATGGGTCTGGGTACCCCTGGGGACCCTGGGTACTTCCCTTCAGCCCCTCTAGGAAGGTCATGAGGGTACAGGAAATACCATAATAACCAACTGTAGTGAGCGTATGATGTTCTCACATGTACGCTGCCTCTTATCCAGTTCAAGTTCTTGACAAAGGCACTCAATGCTAAGGCTGGGCCACGACTTTTCTTATCTAAGAGGAGTTTGATTTTTTTTTTTTTTTTTTTGTAATTCTTTAGGCCATAACTTATTAGATAATTGAGAAAACTGACTTTGCATGCTTCTAGCAATGCCTGCTGCTGGATCGTTCATGACCTACTTGGAATGGACAGCTGACCACACCATTTTCCAAAGGGCCTCTTGGAATCTGGGTTAATTACCCACTTTCCTACTAGCAGATAACAAACAATGAGGTCTAGAGGTCTCTCACTTTTTTTAAATTAAACACCGACTTTTAAAACATAGCATCTGTTTAAGAAATTCTTTACCTTTACAAGGACTGAGCTGGCAATGAATGAAAATCACTTACAGGCTTTGAACTCTAAGACCCAGTTACTCTGATTCGGTACTCAAACCCCAAGTACTAGTAAGCAACTCAAAAGGCGGCCTCATCCCAGCCTTCCTGTCTATGATGTACCCAAGTCACATTCACTTACTGGTCAAAATTCGGAAGAGTAGAAGCCCAAACTGAGAGTAAAGATCCAGGAGCAAGTGCTCTCACCTTCAGAGCTGCCCCTTCTGAGTTTCCTCGGGGCCTGGGTGCCAACGGGAGCTGACAGCTGTCACTCTTAACCTGACCACTCCAATCCCCAATCCTGACTCTTTCCAGAACCGGTTCATTCAGGAACCAAGTCTGCTGAGATCATGGATTCAGCACTTGCTGAAAATCTCCGAACGCCTACACTGAGCTACTTAGTTTCTGCTGTGGCTGCAATATTTCTGAATAAATTTTAAAAAGATAAGCTTCCCTGAGTGCCTTTCACGAGCTAGGAGCTTTTTATGAAAAGAGTGTGCAGTTTTCCGAATACCTTTTCTTGTGAGTCTCTCTGGGTAACACTGAACTCAGCCTAGGAAGCAAGGGGCAAGCGTCAGCGGGAGTGAGGCTTGGGGGGCATTTTATAGCCCAAGATCAGACCCCTGCCCCCGCCCTCGCCCCCGCCACCATGGGGGGGGGGGGGGCTTCTGTAGCCCTTGCTCCTTATGTTCACTATTTACAGCTTACATGTCCTTCCCACGGAGAACTCCCCTCCCTATATACTTGGCAATGAAGATACTAAGGAGCTGGTCAGTCTTTTCCAAACGTGGAAATGTGGAAATGCACACTGCAAATAACCTCCCTCTAAAGAACACAACTGACTGCAAGTGGGGATTTAACCCCAGCAGCTGCCTGCAGCACCTACCTGTGACTTGGGAGCCAAAGCTCATGTTACCCTTTACAACTGCGGCTGCTGCTTGGGCCTCCTAGAGCCCCCCCAGCTGCCACAGACAGAAAGGGGAGGCGCTACGAGCTTGAGTCTTTTATCTCCTCAAAGCAAAAGCGCAAGTCCTTTCAGCTGCTTTTCCCTGTGAAGGGATTCTGAATCCCTGGTGTGGCTGCGGTCACTTCTCTGGCATCCTGGCAGGAGGTGAGGCGGTGCTCTCGCGTGTTACTCAGAGACCCCCTGCAGACCCACCTTGCTTAGCTTGGCGCGCAGCGGCATTGCCACGGGGAGTCATCACACACAGAAATTAATCAACACAATTTCGAAGGACACAGAAATTGCATGCTCTACAACAGGACGAGTGTTAGCCTCTTGGAGGAACCTACAGACATTAACAGGAGCACAACTAGACCAAGGTCAGTGTGGTTAGGGCCCGGACAGCATCATCTACTTCAGCCTAGGGGACGAAAAAGGGACCAGAACTAAATTAAGAACTAGGACTAGCAGATGTTAACACTATAGAAACAGATAATGAGGTATGAAGAGGCACTTACGTGGAAGAGGGCTGTCTGCATTTCCCATGGATGGAACACAGACGATAAGAAAAGACAAGAGACAGACCCAAGGGGGAAAAAAAAAAGATGTAAAAGAAATGAATAGACTCAGGACAGCACATGGAATTGGAAATTCAAATTATCATGTTATTTCAAATCCAGAAAGAAGCAGTTCCTGCAGAAAGAAGAGGAGACAGGCCTGCTTCTGGAAAAGGTAGGGGGACTGCTTGCCGGCCTCTGGCTTCAAAGAGAAGGAAGCAAGGGATTGCCCTGCGTGGCTTTTCATCCCAGGAACGAGAGAGGACCCAGGGATCCCTGTGACCGCTCAAGGAGTCGGGCTGTGCTGCACCTGCTAGAGCTGGGAGGATGCACGGTCCTCCCAGAGGTTTGGGGCTATGGAGGGATATCAGCAGAGCCTGGCCTTCTGTGGGACAGCGGGGAAAGCGAGGCAGGCAGGGGTGAGGGAAAAGGGAACGATGGAGGAAAGCGGTGCCATCCTGAATGGATCAGGAAGAAGCGCCTCTCTGGAAAGAGGCCCCAAGGGAGGGAGACCCTGACGCGCGCTCCTGGCGGGAGGGAGGAGGAGCAGAAGCGTCAGGGGCCTCAGCCACCCTTTTCCCTCGTGCACTGCTGGGCTCTTGCTCCTGCACATACATCGCACAGCAGCCCCTGCATTTCCGTAACGTCATCTCTCTGCTGTGGCAAAAATCCCACGCCTAATTACACGAACCATCATTGTCTTTACCCTCTTCCTTCAAGTCACGGGGTGCTTTAGGGCCTTTGTGACCTGTGTCCAAAAGCAGTGTCTCCCAAATCCCTCCACAACATGCCTCTGCGTCTCTGCCCGCTCCCTTTACAACGTGTCAGGGGCTTCCTCCCTGGCTGTTATTCTAACAGGAGGGACCCGCTACTGTGACAGTGTCACCAGGCACTTTGGGGAAGAGAACAGAAGGGGCTGGGCATCAGCCATCACTGAGGGCCAAGGAACTAGGAGGTGGGACCTCCTGGAGCAGAGGAAGCTGAAAGACAAAAGCTGTCATCCAAACCATGGATGGGGCAGCTCAGGGTCCCCTCTGCCCCTGAGGAGAAGAGGGTGGGGATGGGGAAGAGGCAGGGCAGCTGCTTTTACTTACGGACTGGCTGCGTCTTGAACTCAGAGGCTGTGCTGATCTCCCCCAGCCCCTTGCCGTTGAGGGCCGCCAGCCGCACCGCGTACGTCGTCTCCGGCTTCAGGCCCACGATGGTGACAATGCCCTCCATGTTGGCTGTTGCGAGAATATGAGAAGGATCACAAAGGGTGGAAAGCCCATTAGTAAAATGGCGCAGCCGCTGTGGAACGCAGCATGGCAGGTCCTCAAGAAATTAAACATGGCATTTCCATGTGATCTACGTCTGGGTATATCACAAAAGAATTGAAAGCAGGAAGTGGAACAGATACTTGCCCACCCATGTTCAGAGTAGCACTGTTCACAATTGCCAAAGAGAGGAAACAACCCAAGTGTCCATCAATGGACGAGTGGACGCACACGGTGTGGTACTGATACAGTGGAGTTTCAGGCAGCTTTAACACGGAACGAAACTCACTTGGACACGTGCTACAATGTAGGTGGACCTTGATGACATCAGGCTAAGTAAGCCGGACACAGAAGGACATGTTCCACTCGTCTGTAGTAGTTAGAACAGAGACAGGAAGTAGAATGGTGGTTGCTGGGGCTGGAGGGAGGTGGGAATGGGGAGCTAGTGTTTAACGGGCACTGCGTTTAGGATTATGAAAAAGTTCTGGAGATGGATGGTGGGGCTGGTTGCACAATAACGTGACGGTACCTAATGCCACTGAACTTCACACTTAAACATGGCTAAAATGGTAAATTTCACATTCCACATATTTCACCACAACAAAAATAGAATCGGAATGTTGATTATATTTGAATTAAATATATATATAAAGGGCAGGGGAGGGTGGAATCCAGCTTGTAGCAATGACCAAAAAAAGAAAACAAAGCCAGTGGGACTTTCACATGGGGTCGACTTGCCATAGAGCTGGTGTGAGGTTTCAGAGGGAAGTTAGCGAGGTAAAGAGATTGTTTTCTCCTGGCTCCAAATGGACAGCCCAGAAACTCCTCAGGTTCCCCACCCCCCAAAAGCTGAAGGAGTGATGGAGGCTACCTGGTGAAATAAATTCTCAGTAAAAAGGGCCGGAAGGCAGCCACCCTTGTTACCACATACCGGACCGGGATTAAAACTTTCTACGGAAACAAAAAGTACTTCACTGGCGTATGAACCCCGCAGGGAGAGTTACACACGGTTGTATACTCGGTCTTCAGGGCAAAATAGTCCAGGCTCAAAATCTTCAAACTGTAGGCATCCAAGGGTCATTTTGAAAATTTTAGTTTGGAAATCTATCACAGGATGAATTGAAGAGCAGACTTGTCTCTCTGGCAACTTGTTGTGTGGTTAATACCATCATTACAGGGCAGCCCCTGAGTACACGAAGCAAGATGGATGGGTGACGGCAGAGAAGCCCCAGCCCGGATCACCCACAGGTGCAGGGCAGGGGCGGTCTGGACTCATTCAGTTGTGCTTAGCACCTAAGGAGGGCTTCTGCCTGGAGCGTGCTTGAGATGGCCTCGTCTTGGCGTGTCCTGAGAAGCAGGTTCTGACGTACCAGGGGACAGAAGGCCAACACTTCCAGAGGAGATGTGACCGTGCCCGAATTCCAGAGGGACAGGGATGGTGCTGCGGCAAAGGAACACGGACGGATGGCAGGCTGTGGCATCTGGCTTCCTCAGCAGGTGAGAGCGATGTACCATTCTACCCGGGTGTGCCGTCAGGGGCCCGGCACCAGGGGTGAGCGTCTGCCCGGCACCGAGAAACCCATCATTCTAAAGGAAACGCCGACTCTTCCCACTTACCCTCCTTGGCATCATACCACTTGAAATGCCACACTTCTTCGCCCACTGCTCTCCACTCGGCCTTGTATTTGAGGATGGGCACACCACCTGTGGCCTCTGGTTCATCAAACTGCACCTGTGCTGTGCTAGAGTACGGCTCCACCTGGTCGATGGACGGTGAAGATGGGGTGTCTGTGGGGAGGGCACATATGGAGACCCAGGTGAGCCCGATTAGGTCCAGGACGTGACTCCCAGTCACAAAGCATGTCTCTCGTTTGTACTCATTCTTGGGAATCTTGTCACCCGTCTCCCGTTCCCCAGCCCGCCTCACCCTATCATTCCCTCCCAACAAGCGCCGTGCCCACACCTTTGAACCTCCATAGGCTCCTTGCTTCCTGACCCTCTGTCTTTGGCTACCCTGGCCCTCTCTTCTTTTACTCTCTTAGCGTCACCGAAGGGCACGGACTAGGCCAGCAAAGATAAGGCTGGTACAGCCATCAGGGGTGCTCACCTGCTTGGACAAGGATGAATTCCAAAGACTCCTGTCCAATGCGGTTCACTGCAGTACAGTTGTAATTTCCGAAGTCATTTTCAGAGTCTGGGGTCACCTTTGGAAAGGAGGAACTTGTGGGTTACACGTGTCCCACAGAATGGTCACTGATTCAGATCTTTGTTTACTGAATTAATTTGTAAGGAACAGAACAAGTAAAGCATGAACGATTAGCTCCAGCCCAGCCTTAAATCAGAGAGAATCGCCAAAGGGCTAGTGAGAGGCACGCTCGGCCTCCCAGGCTGTGACCTAGTCCCAGGGAGAGAGAGGGGAGCAGGGCTGAGACTCAGTTTCTTCTGTAGCCGATGGCTCCCCTGGTCAGGACACGTGGGAGAAGCAAGAGAGAAGATTTTAGCTGCAGAGGGCAGCCTATCCATAGTCAGATTGTGCCTTCTCCACCCTCCCCTGTCCCCGCCCCGACTCACCTCCAGGTAGCTGGCGGAGGGGGTGTTGTAGATCTTGATATTGCTGTAATTGGAGCTTGGCAGCAGCTGGCCATCCCGGAACCATGAAATTGTGGCGCTGGGGTAGGCAAATACCTCGCACGTGATGTTCACCTGGTTCCCCTCCCACGTGTAGACAGCCACAGGGCCCTGCAGCTTCGGGGCATCTGCAAGGAACAGCAATGCCCATCAGGAAGACCACCACCACCAAGGAGCTCCGTGCACCCTGTCTCCCGGCCCTGGCAGGGTGTGTGTGCCCTGAAGCAGACCCAGCTCCAGGACACGATCAAGCCCAGGCTGGTGTAGCAGTCCTGGGAGCTGCGTGGGAAGACGGAGGCGCCTGTGGGCCTGTAAGAAGCCTGGGGCGGTGGGAGGGACAACTTGGGGACAGAGGGCTGGAAGGGCCCAGGGCAGGGTGCAGCTCAGGTCCTGGCTGCTGTCCTCCCCTTTCATCCTGACCCCACACGGCCCCCTCCCCTCGTTTTTCCAGTCACTGCTCACATTGCACTTCGAGGTACATGGACTGGGAGTCCTGGCCGATGGTGTTGCTGGCAGTGCAGATGTATTCTCCGGCGTCTGTGTACTGGATGCTCTTCAGGGTCAGAGACGACACGCGGGCATGGCTGCGCACCACCATGTGCCCATCCAGAGTCTGCCAGGAGGGAAGGGAGAGCGTCAGAGTCCGAGGCAGGGCAGGGGGCAGGGCAGGAGACCGGGCCACCCCTCGTCTGGGACCAGTCTCACATCCTCTCCCCAAATCGTGCCAATGCCTAACTTTCACTTTAGGTACCTGGTAGTGTGGGAGGCTCTGGAGAGCACCACGGGAACCTGAGTGTATCCAAAATAGAAAATGGGACTCAAGTTTATGTCAAGCAGCCTGGACTCTGTGCCAAGGTTGGTCTGGGGCAAGGACAACCAAGGTTCCCCGCCGCCACCACCCGCCGCCCCAAGACAACCCTGTGTGGCATGTCTTAAATGGAAGTGAAAGTCCTGGCTAGCAGATACTCCAGCAGCAGCGGCCTTGCTCCATGGGATTCTGGGAAACCTGCACCCCTATGCTTTCATCCCAGGAGTCTGCCCGTCTGCCAGTTCCACAGTGCAGGCACGCATAATGGGAAATCTGAATGTGCCAACTGCAAGAAATTATGCAAGAAACCTATATTTCTGCAGATACCTCACTTTCCTGAATGCTTAAAAGTAAAATAATTTCATTCAAGAGAAAGTCCGACAATTCAATGATCAGGAGCTGGTGAGGGGTAGCTGGGTCTTCTCTCCAGGGACAGTGGCACAGAGTCTCAGGCAGATCTGGGATCCGTGACACCACACTCACCACCATTTTCTAGCCCCTAAGACCACAGTTGGCTTCCTGAGTCGCTGGAATTACAGTGACTGGTCAAAAAGGGAATAAGCATATGACCCCTAGGCAATGGGTACTGTAATATTTCCAAGGGGCCTTTGCCTTGACACTCTAAAATGGTTGCTGGCCTAGTCTGGGCATGTTGCCCAAGTTCAAATCCTCAAGAAAGTTGGTAATCTGAAGAAGGAGTCTTGCTCCTCGTAGGCTGGGCTACACTCTTATCTCCAGCATATGCTATTCTGTGGAGATGGACAGGTGAGTGTTCTGCATGTGGCATCTGTCATCCATGGGGTTGAGCCTTTAGGGAATCGAACACCTGCTTCAGATTCTTTTGACATGCTGGTTTGGAAGCCTGGGACTCAGAACTGCAATGTCATACAGGAGCCAGTTTAGGCAGCTCAAAAGGAAGGTCCCATTGGCCTTGTGGGGCAGTCTCCACAGATCTGCCCATCACTAATGGACCTAATCCATCTCAGGCATTTAAGCCCCACTGAGGTTCTCATATCTGGAAGTTGGAATACCACTGCTGGCAAGGAGGCAGAGTGCTGAACAAAATCATCACTGCCTACCTCTGCGAGGGCCACCCCACTCACAGAGGAGTGCCCAGATGTCCATAGCTCTCAACTCCACCTGAACCATAAGTCTGCCAGGCTAAGTGGTTGAGGAGATGCCACACATTAGTGAGAGATGACAACAGACAGATGTGGAGCACTTGGCTAGTAAGCCTTGAGACATCTGGTTTGCTGAAGATACTGGGTCCTTGGACCCCCATATCTTGTGGGCTGACAGGGTTGTCCCAATATTCCCAAGTGGTGACTCCCATGAGCCATATAAATTTTAACCCATCAGATCTAGTGTCATCGAAAACATGAAGCCACACCAGCAAGTATCTCTAAAGAGCTGACCTGATCTGCTTGTCACTTCTGTCTGTCCCCAACAGAGCAGGACAAAGGCAGAAAGGATTTGAGGTCCACTCCCCCCTGCCCCACCCCACCCTTTTGGTTATATCAGTGAGAACACAGGTTCAGCTGCTAGTGATACCAGCCAGTGGCTGAGCAATGACTGTTTGTCATGGAGGCACAGCTTGTCCTGGGCCCAGCACCCACAAACATGGAAAACTGACTGGATCTTTGGGAAGTCAAGAGAATAATTCCACAATGGAAGAAATATTGCAGCAAAAGATGAAAAGAGAGTCGCGGAACTAAGAGTAGGACAGTAACAAATCACAATGAAACAGGGCATGAGCAGTCTTTACTCAGAATATTCTAGAAAAAGGTTGAAGAGAAGCTTGGGAAGTGGTTTCATTGACAGCTATACTCTTCCCCCCTTCTATGTGTTCTAAATTTCTCTGGAAAAATTTTCTCATTTAATGTTGTCAACAGACCAGTAGACAGCCCTCTACAGAGAATTCTTATTTTGCAGTGGCTCGCGACAGGATTGATGATGGGAATTTGCCAGATGCCCAGTTCTCCCTCCAAGGGGAAGCAGATAGACTCCAGTGCAATTAGACCGTTTCCCTCTGAAATGTTTGACTCTCACACAGGGACAAAGTCAGGGACTGCTACCCACAAGCCATCCAGACCAGGAGTCATGCTGATAAAGTCCAGGCTTGCAGAGGAAGCAGATGATCTCTGGGCAAGAAGGGAAAAAGACCTGTGACAAGAAAACCCTGTTTTGCAAAAACAGCATGAAGGGCCATCACAACTATTCTTCTCATCAGAACATTTTTGTGTCCCTTCTTCTAGGTAAAAGTGCTAATTCTCAGAGCTTACAGAACGAAACTGGCCATAACCCAGTAACCTTCTTTGGAGCTCATCTGGACTTATGGTCTTCATCTCTGAATGAGACAAACAGGAGGAAATTCTGAGCCCCAGGGGTGGCACTCACTTGAAAGTCAATTATGTCCAAAGTGAGATACTCAAGATAAGGATACTTCTGGAAAACGGAAGTGAGTTGTCTGCTTTCCAGGGAGTAAACCTAGGACTTCCACTTATAATAATAATTCTCTTAGCCTCCCTTAACGCTCCCTGATAAATCTCACGTCCCCCTCCAGCCAGGTCTAAATCAGAATGACAGGGGAAGATGTAGAGGGTCAAACAGAATGAGATCTGTAGTTACTGAGGAGTGGCTGATAATTAACCCCTCTTCTCTCCTGTCCCCAATCCCAATGGGTCTATGACTTTGGGGCAATAAAACAGCCAGGCTGGGACAGCACTAAGTGATCCCTGTGCCACAGGAGGGAGGCATTTCAGCGAGACGAGCACCTGACTATGGTCCCCCATGACATGGAAGAAGGTAGGAAACAAAGACAGCTTATTGTACACTGGATTTGATCACGGCAGTGTGTTCACGTGTAGAAACTAGGATCAGTGCCCGGGGATGGGCAGTCAACTCTTGAATATTAAACAGCATTAAATATTTACAGCCACGATCTGAACACATGAGTTATGTGTTCCGAATAATTATCATTTCTGAAAACTAAGAGGAAAGAGTTACCTAATTAAAACACAGTGTATAGGATTGCCATATTCGACATTTGTAGTATTAAAATATCAAAGTTTCCTCTGGAGAAGAGACAAAAGCTATTTTTTAAAAAATATTTATGGATTCGATCCTTGAACCTCATCTAAAGTATACTAGTTTTTATTTTGCTATCTTTCACTTACACGAATCACTGAAACAAAGATAGGCCTGATTGTAACTAGGGTCTTGAGTGTGTAACATTAAAATCTAAAGATTAATATTTAGCTTTAGTTTTCAAACAAGGTCCCACATTACCCAAATGGAAGGAAGCAGTCAGAGAAATCTCAAAAGCTAAATGCTACTGACTTCTAAAACCATTTGTGCCAAATCATGCAAATCTAAATTTAATTCTCTATGAAAGTAACATAGGTATGCTTAGCAATTTGGGGAAACCAAGGAGAGATGTCATCTGCATTGCTGTGACATGAAATGGGATGTGATCATTTACCAGGACCGATCATTCTAGAATAAAGCGAGCAACAAGATGAGTTGAGCTGGAAAGGGCTGAGTGGGTTTTTAGACACTAACTCTGTGACTTTATGACCCAAAGCCACATCAACCAGGTGAGAGGCAAAAAAAAAAAAAAAAAAAAAAATCTCATCATTTCCAAATGCCTGGCCTGGGAATTGGAGCGATTTATTTCTGTAAGTATAATTACCTGGAGGTGATTTTACCAGCACCAGCAAGAGAATAAGATCCAATTTTAAGAAGTAATAAGGATTTGTTCATCCACTCCCAACACAGCTTGCTTGCTCATCCTAAGACACTATTGCCAAGTAACGTCTACCACTATTGACCTATTCTTTAATCTAACTAGATGACTAATTAGTTTAGCATGTCTGGTTATTAAACTGTAATGGCGAGTTAAACTGCGATGCTTTCGAAACTAAAGACTGGCTAGTGGTCAGGTAAGCTATACCTCCTGCTTCTCCGGTCGAGTCCACGAAGCCTGGAGAGAACAAGATATAAAACACAACAAGAAAGCAGTAAAATTTTACAACATGTTGCTTCAGAGAATTGATGTATCACACTGCATTCCGTGCACATGCAGCTTCTTTTCAACTCAGAACTTTTTCCAAGGCTCACTTTCAATGGTGTGTTTATTACCCAACTGAATTTAGGGTTTAGCTTATGTTAAGCTTTCCCCACCCCCTTATGCACATTAAGATGTATAATTCAAAGGAGATGGCTTTCCTGATCTTTGGTAGACATACACAGGGGTACCAGCAGACACAGCAGACTGCTCCTGTTCCAGAACATCTTGAATATTTCTCGTAGTTATTTCATGTCGCTATTAGTTCTGACTATAAAGTCTAGAGATACTCATAGAGTATGTTTCCTCCTTTGGATTCTATTAGACAGCTTATCACAAAAATACGAATGCCATTTTGTGCTCATGCATTTTATAATTCATTGCATGCATCCTATTAAAAATCACGTTTATATTTTCTAAAAAGGAACTAAAAAAGGAGGAGAGAGGTACATTAGGAGTGGTTAAGTATGAAGTGCTTAAAGTTGTTGATCAGGAAACTTCCAGGACACCAAATTCTGAGTGCTGCGGCAGGCTCCAGTCAGTTCTCAGGGGCAGAGGAATGCCCGGATGGCATGCAGGCTCAAGCGTGCACCATCGACATCAAACATGGCATTCACAGAGGAGGGAGTCAGCTCAGAAGCATAGAGGTTTGGGTGTCTTCCTACCCACGTCTGCATATTTTATATCTGGCACTTGGGGAACTCCTACACTTAGAGTTTTTCCATTTTCATACTGGGTTTCAAAAACATCCTACCTGCAGTTGTTCTTTTTATTAAATGGCATGACTGCCTGGTTGTCCCTGATGTTCAGATGGAAAAAGGAGAGAACAGATACCAGAGACAAGGCAATGCAATCCAGGAAATGCAAATGGTTAGCAAACATTTAGTAGGAGTCCACTAAATGCAGAGAGCTTTTGTGAGAAATGAGGATGGAGAGGTTGGATTATGTCATGTGATGCTGGAATGAAGAAAAAAGTGAGGACAGAGGACCATGCACCATGTGTCGGTGTGCCAGCATGTCAAATGTGGCCGCCAATGAGAAGCTTGTCTGTCACATGCCAGGGCTGCATGAATCAAGACTTTTTTAAAGGGCTATCTCATATGGAGTTATTTGTTTTTCAAATCTGATCCTTCTTGTACCTCTCCCAAATCACTAGGGTTTTGTGTCATTCAGAAGTAGTTGCTAGTAACACAACGCCTCCACTAGCCTGACCTCCTGCCTGTGTGCCCGATGGGAGTGGTAGGATATGCCTTGGCCCTGATAATTTGGTGATGGTGTGTAGTTCACTTTAAGACAATCTGATGTGCAAATATACACACATAAAACAAATTAGGATATGATTAGCCACGCTCCAGAAATTTTAAGTTCCAGGTCCTTTTAATATTCACGTTTTATTACCTCACATACGAGTCTGCAGGAATATGTACAGTGAAGCATCCCTACACTTAGCCTAAAGTAGATCCTGCTATACCTCTGCCCACACCCCTAATATGCCAGACTCTAACTGCTTATCATAGGCACCTTTTCCAGTGTTTATACGTGGGCGCCTGGTTTGCATTAATGAGGAATTCTCCCCGGTGACAGAAAGATCCAGTTTTCAGTGGATCCAGAATTTCAAAGGTCTCTCTTATTTGTCGGATTTGTGGGACACTCTGTCAGCTAAAGACTCGAGGTTCAGGAAGTTCCATTTTTTTCTACCTGTTCTGAACTCAACTCTTTGCCCCTCTTCTTTTCCTTAAATATTAAGGCTTTGTATACATTTCTTTACCAGTCATTTCAAAGGCATGTTCAAATAAGAGGTTCAAATACGCACACAGAGAACGTGTTGTGATAGTGACCGATTGTGCAAATCATCACCCAGAGGTCTCGCTCAGTATGTAAATGGTACCTCGAAGTTAGCCCCACTCACTCACATACCTGGCAATATTTAAAATGAGTCTTGGTAGTATGAGCAATGAATTGATGTGGATGTGCAAACTTTCTTTGTACCTGCATTATCACAATGTCCTCCAGACACAGTGATCAAACTGACCCATTATGATGTTCAAATATGGTTTGTTTCAAGGTTTTTTTTTTGTTGTTGTTTGTTTGTATTTGTTTGTTTGGGCCAACATAATGGAGACTAAGAAATGGATTAACTTTCAGACAGGTGATCTACCCTAACGGTCTTAATGACCCAAATGTAGCCTACCTGTTATCAGTTGTTGAGCAAAACCAACTCAACTAGCTGAAGCTTAGCAGACTGATAGTAATCGGTCTCGAAGGAGTGATTGGACTGAACCCAGAGATGCGATCAGATAGATTTTGACAATCAGGCTCAGTGTACTAGCTTTTGCTTGTTTCCCCCACCCCTTCTTTCTCTTCTTCTTCTTTTTTTAATGAAGAGGAACATCAGTTTTCCATTAGAAAGTTACTAACTCTGTGCCTATGATTGAAAGCCTTTTCTCTCCTCTTAAGAAGGGTAATACTAGACAAACACTAGACTTAACTGAGCAATGAATCAAAAGACCAAGTTGCTGTAATTAGCTTATATTGTAACCAGTTTTATTAAAGAAATCATTGAGGGGCACCTGGGTGGCTCAGTTGGTTAAGCATCCAACTTCAGCTCAGGTCACAATCTCACAGTTTGTGAGTCCAAGCCCCGTTGTGAGTTTGAGCCCCACATCAGGCTCTGTGCTGACAGCTTGTTCAGAGCCTGGAGCCTGCTTCGGGTTCTATCTCCCTTTCTCTCTGCCCCTGCCCCACTCACACTCTGTCTCTGCCTCTCTCAAAAATAAATAAACATTCAAAAAAATTTAAAAAAAAAGGAAATCACTAAACCTTCCACAAAAGTCCTCAAAATCATGAGGAGCACCATGATATTGGATGCTCTGCCTTCCAAACCAGTGACCCAGAGGAAGGCCCTGGTAGCACTCTAAGGACTTTGCACTTGACCTTGTCCGAGTCAACATTTTTATCAGAGACTTAGACCAAGATATTTCAAGTAAGTGTTCATACAAGGTTGGAGCCAATAGCTAATACAGATACTGGATGACAGCTGCATGGGGAAGGCTACTGAACTGCTTGTGAAGGGCCTTGTGAAGGAAGTGGGGTCACCACTGAGTGTTAGACCTCATTACTTTAAAAATACGTGAATAAACAGGGGGGCCCCTGAGGCTCGAAATGCCCTAGACCTACAGACCTTTAAGGACAGTTCTGATAAAAGCCAGACCTGCCTGGTTAGAAGGATGGACTGAAATGGTTCTCAAGCCAGAAAGAGCTTGTATGGGTGGCATTTTTGGTAATCGAGGTGATTAGAGGTGGCTACTGGCATCTAGAAGGAAGGGAGCTATTGGTTACTGAGTTTCTGGCCATGCACAGGACCATCCCAGTGAAGGAAGTGCCTCCCCAAGTGCCACTGATACCACTGAGAAACATGGGGTTGCAATAAACAAAACACAACTCTTAGCAGAAATAAATATAATATTCTGCATTTTAGGTGAAGCAACCAATTGCATAAGAGCAGGAGAAGGGGCTATGTGGCTTAAATGCTGTTCAGATAAAAAAGAGCTGAGAATTTTAGTTGACCCCAAGCTCCACATGAGGCAACACAATGAGGAAACCGCGGCAGGGGCCAATGAAACTTTAACTGCATGGTGGTGTCCAGATCAAGGGAGTCAGAGCTGCACGGAAGACTGCATTAGTTACACTAGGCACCATAAAACTTCAGGGGAGTGTCACTGGACTGGGACCACTGGGACCACTAGAAAGCACAAGGCGGGGAACCCATGACCCCAGAAACAGGGAAGACCACTGAGTGTGTTTAAGGGAAGAAGAGTGGAGAATCCAAGAGCCCTCACACAGGGCACTGAGTGGCAGAGGTGGGAAGACAGAGTGGACGGGGCAAGGAAGCAGACCTTCCCGATCACCAGTGCTGGCCAGCTGTCTTGCAGAGGACGGTCACCATCACCCTTCAGGGAGTGGCCATGGGGTTTTCTGGCAGATATGCTGGCAAGGGAGTGCCAGGTGAGACTAGACAACCTGGAATAGGGCCTCCCTTCCTGCCTTCTATGATTCCAGCATTTTGCACGGTCTAATTCTCAGGAGACTTCCTGGCCTCCGCGGTTAGACACAAGTGGCTATTTTTATCTGCTTAGTGTATCAGCCTGATTGTAAAAAGCCAACTGTTTTCTCTCACTTCTGTGCTGCAGTGACTCTAATCATCTTGGTACCTGATTGTATACGACGCACCTTCAGGTGGAGGAGAACATGATGGGCCGCTGCCAGGTAAAAGTGAAATTTATTACCTGGAGTCCAACCAGCACCTGTAATAGGACATCTTCGTTCTATTAATTACTAGCTATCCCCAGTGTAGGACAGAGAGCAAGCCTCTTTGATGTCAATATATAACTGATAGAAATGGCAACTTTTATATGCAGGGGTTCATTTAGGCAAGTGTGTTAATCTAGTGTCATCTCACGGGCTGGTCTGGAGGACTTGTTCTAATATCGATTCACTCATGCTCCAGTAATGTCACGTCAAGTAGACTTGAAGACAGTCTGTATGTAGTAAAAGGAACCACAATGCAATATATGTGGCTGGCCTTCCATAATTATCTCAGGTTGAGACAAGCGATCTACACTGATAACTGAATTATACAGTACCTACTTGGCCTGAGATGGTCTCTGTTGGATACCTTGGGTTTCACTACTTAGTAAGTATGAGTGTGTATTAGTGCCTGGTTATTTGTTCTCTTTCTGTAAAAATGAATTCACAGATAGAAGGCAGAAGTGACCACCTATTAAAGAACTTAGGGTAGGCACAAATCTTAATGGCCCTTCTGGTATAGCTTAGATGTTGAGCTATTCCTAGAAAAGACATTGAATTTAAAAGCATCATTCATCTGGGATAGATATTATTTCTGTCCTTTACTGTAGGTCAACGATATACACTGGTTCATTCTGGACAAATCTACTCACAAGCCTGATAGAGAAAAATCTGGTGAGCAGCAGCCCTGTGGTTTAAGCCCTGAAATGTACATTCAATCCATGTAACACACACGATGGGAGCTGAAATCTGAGCTTAGGGTTTAATTCCAATGTTGATAAAGAAAGTATCCAAGTAAACACCACATTTCCTAATCCGGTTGGTTTTCACAATATCGAACAGCATATGTGAGTCTCAAAAATACTTAGCAGTTCCTTGAGTTTTTGTTAAGTGGAATTCAACTGTGGAGGTAAAACTTGCAAAAAAAATAATGGGCTTTTTGGAACAGCAATTTCTATTCCTTTTGATTTAGTTTGCTTTCTATTAACAGGGCAGAAATCAGATCCTCAAATGCAAATCCCAAACATGGCTCTGGCATTTCACACTATCTCTTTTTGACTTTATTTTAGTTTGCCCTCTCTAGGGATTTCCTTTAGGCAGGCAGAAGAGTGAAGATCTATCATTTTTGACATTCAGGTCAATAAGCAATCCATTATAAATGTTCTTTAAGGCTAAGGCCATTATTCCTGAATAGGTGACAAAATTTTGGCCAACTAAAATGAAGCCCATTACTAGAGGGTATATGAGAGGAGACTGGAGATGTGCCATAAGAGGGTTTAAGTTGCTCTGAAACCAAGCTGTTTCTTCCTCCTGTTTTTGGCCCACTCAGCAGCAAAGGGCTGCAATGACGTAAGGTTATCTAAATTTTTATATATTGTCAATAATAAAGATAGCTTTCCGGGGGCCTATAAATCTACAGGCTTTAAAGCTAAATTTTCCCAGTCATTTCAATTTACCAAGAAGGTCGCTGCCATGTGCTTAAACTCTCAGTGAATGTACTGTAGAACCCAGTGGAATAATCATCATGTAGAAACTGCTAATTATTTTTGCCTTCAGAACAAAATGATATCCAAATGTGACCGAAAATACAGGCAGACACAAAGGCAACCAAGCTTTTGTGCGTATAGTGCATGTACAGCATGAGTCTACAAAACACAAGGAAAAGAATTAATAGGGCTCATTCTGATCCCCGCTATTTCTGGGCGACACTTCCCTGGGTGCCCCCTGTGATGATGGTAGGAACAGCTGGGGCACCAGGATCTTGGCTTTTCCTTGCACCTCATAGCTCCATAATCCAAAATCACTAACCCCTTCCTCTCCAGAACATTTAACTTGACCATGCCCACTAATATCACAACCCTGCAAATCTTTGCAAGAAACTGTGGTCCTTCCACTGTAAGGGGACACTGGTGAGGCCACAGCCAGGCAGGCTGGAGGACGGAGGCCACAGGACCTGGCATGGCCTCTGGTGCCTGCATCCTATCTTTGGGCTCATCGAAGAGAACGGGGCATGGGCAGACACAATCTGCTTGGAGCCTGCATCCCATGGCCCTGAAACTCTTGGGGGACATCATACCTTTTCTTCGCTGCTGATGTTTCGGGTAGAAGTCCTCCAGGTGATAGAGGGAATGGGGTCTCCTGAGGCTTCACAGGTAAGAGTGACTTGTTCCTCTAGTTCCATGGCAGTCTGGTTCTCTACATAAGTGATTTTGGGTTTTGCTGAAAAGACAAGACATGTTAATGAGTCTATCTGATCTTTCAGCTTTCTGGGTTTAAGTTACAACATGCACCCATTCAACGAAGGTTATGTGCTTACTAGGTGTTAAGAACCTATTCTAGGTGTTGTAGGAGATAAAGAATGGAATCCTCAAGGAGTGTGCAAATGGGCATACAACAACATTGATGTGACAGCCAGAGAAATAAGATCCCATAGAGTAAGAGTGCTAAGGGCAGTGGGTGGAGAAGGTGCGGGGCAGAGGAAGATCGCTCCTCTGGCTGGAACCTTCATGAGGGGAAAGTGTCCTGGCTGGGCCATGAGACTTTCAACACATGGAACTTTGGGATAGAGACAGTCATTCCAAGTGTAGAAACCTGCTTGACTGAAAGCAAAGAAGCGAGAACATGGAAAAAGGGCAGTGTGGCAGGAGCTGGTGTTTGTACATCATGGCAGGGGGAGGCGATGCTGGGCCCAGACACAGAGATCATGACTGCCTGGCTAAAACACTTGCTTTGAATGATCTTGGGTGGCTGATGGAGGCCCACTGGCGGTGTTTGATGAGAGGAATGAAATGGCCATTTGTACTTCAAGAAGGTTAATCTAGAAAAACTCAAGATGATTTAGAATGGAGGAAACCTTGAGGTGGGAAAACCAATTTGGAAGCTCTGGCCGTGCCCCAGATGTGGCTTAATACAGTCCCGAACTGGGTGGTCTGGGGTGGGGGACAGATGGGGAAGGTCAGCTTTGAGAGAGGTACTTACAGCAGGTTTCGCAGGAAGTGCCAAGGGAACAGAGGGCAAAGGAGGCATGGCAAGACACAAAAGAGGGGATGAGAAGGTGCTGACATGACTCTGAGCGTCTTGCTGGAGGGTGGAGTTGGGTTCGCATTGACTCCAGGAAGGAAATATGGCGAGTGATGGGTTAGGGGCTGTGGGGTGGGCTGGGATGGGAAGGAGATGAGATGGGTTCATTTTCCAAATGTTTTGGGTAATGCAAGAAAACACAAGGATTCGAAAGCTGAGTTAAATGTTAAAACATTAGAGAAAATTGACTTTTCCTGATTTAAAACAATTATACTCTGAAATTGCTAAACCTTCCATGGAAGAGAAAAGATAACACTACACAAATGTAACTTATTTCACTAATGGAGGAGAAAGACCAGGCTAGATATACAAACAAAAGAGAAATAAATCAAATTTACGGATAATTTTGGAAAGAACTGCATTTCCTTTACATTCACATTCATACGGTACCCCCAAGTAGGTTAATGAACTACTGCCTATATACATCCTACAAGTTGAGGCGCTCGATTTTGCTTTAATAAAGAGAAAGCATTGGCAAGGCTGTGCATTTTCTGTAGCAAATATCTGCTTCTATATAAAACTACCCTATAGATCAAATATTCTGCCACAGTTAATCTGTACTAACCAGCCTGCTTGGCAAATCCTTTTTTGATGGCAAGCACATAGGCACATCTCAATCCAATGTGGCCAAATGATCACAAATTGGAATTGATGGAGTCCAGTTGAGTGAGGTTTTCCCCTTGGAAGGTTTTGTGTCTATCTTGATAAATAGGATTTTCCAGGTGGTCACAACTCATATCGAATGGACCAAGTGTTAAGTGTAGCTGGACAGGAGGTTTTACAAAGATAAAAGCTGAATTTCTACCCTGTTAAAATCACAGATTGAAGAGTGTTAAAAAATAAATAAAATTCAGCCTAACGACCAAATTCACTGAACTGGACAGTTGTTTTGAGGTCTGGAGGCAGTATAGGAAGGCTGAATTTTGGCTTCTTGAAAGCTCGATGGATGTTGTGACCTGGATGGTGTTTGCTGGCCTTTTTCTGACCCCCTGAACTTTGTCCTGGCAGCAAAAGGTTAACAGAAGACAGACAAGGTATAGTTAACATCTATTAATGTTTGGTTTGGTGGGTTACAAAAGGCCCACTGTACACATCTTTAGAAAAAAGGAAAATGTATTCTTACTAAAAATATTATTAACAATAGCTAATTTCAGATGGTCTACAGAGGGCTGTTGGGAAGGAAGGCAAGCTTTTCACTGATGACTTAACCTCTCTGCACTACAGAAGCAAGGCTCTTGCGAGAAGTAATTGAAGGCTTAGAATATTGCCTTGGAGATAGGATACCAATATAATTTCCTGTCCAAATCAGGACACCCTTGAGTGGGAGAAGGGATTCTCTACATAATTACCTTGGGACAGTGGGCATCATCAGGCCAACGGGGACAGATGCAGGGTCATTTCCCTCTGCACCCCAGGATCTACAGGAACAGCTCCAGGTTTTATCTTCAGATGGAACTTGTACCATCTTAATTAATGTCTTTCGTGGGCCCTTGACTTTGGATCCCCATTTTATATTCCACCTGCTGCTATGGGAGTTAATGCCTCAGACTGTCCCATTATACATCTCCCCATGGACCTTCCTGTGAGAACACCTGTCCTTGGGAGTTTTCCAAGCACACTGGCTCTCCTCTTCCAGCATGCCCATGGCTCTGCACCGCACCACTAAGGAGTGGTCTTGTCTATTCCCACTCCAATCCAGACTCCTGCATCCCCAGCCCAAGGAGGGCTCTGGGGCCCTGCTTGTCTGAACAGAGAGGCTGGGCATGACCAGGCGCACCTTCCTTCAGGCTTTATACTGTGTGGTAACTCACAAGGGCTGTTTTGGTCCTAAGGGGTCAGTGAAGCAAACCCACTGGTGAACTGGCCTCAGCCCACGGCAGTATGAGGCCTCAAGAGCATTCATGCGAGCATAAGAGGAATATGAGGAGACAAAAATACTTTTTTAGAAGGGCCCATGGGGAGAAAAGCAATGGAAATTCACTGCCAAATTTAAAGACAGGTAGGATGTAACTACTTAGTAAAAAGAGCTTCTGGCTGATAACTAGGGCAAGGCATGCTAGAACGTGCCCCCTTCTTAGGAAAAAATGATGTCAGTAAGGTACAATTACGGCAGTGTCTAATTTAGATATGCTCCATACATACTAATTGCCTTCCCTTCTGGAATCAGGGGAGTTCTGTGAGCTTCTCTACTGTCTAAGCTGCTGGTTTCTTTGCTCTTCTGCCCCACTGCTGCCGACTCTGCTGCCAATGGGGAGCCTGTTTCTTCATTTCTCTCCTTAGTGCTGGTCCCATGGCAAACCAAGGGGAAGGAGAGGGATGGAGGAAAGAAGGATGGAGCCCTAACTAGCCACCCCCCCCCACCTTGGCCTTACTACCAATCCCCTAAACCAAGGGAGGCCAAAGGAGGCAGAAGAGGAGGTTAAGAATGTGAAATGGAGAGGGGAAGGGGTGTGTGCACGAGGCACCAGGTTACTCCAAAGAGGCAATGCAAACCCTCCCCTGGATATCATAGAGGAGGACTCCTATTTCGGATGGGGTCCCTAGGAGCCGGTGATTTGCTTACCTGTCTCTGCAGTCTGGCCACTTCTCCTCTATTTACTCTTCTGGACTAACATATGTTCTCCCAGTGCGATCTCGGGAAAGAAACTGTATGTGTGTGTGTGTGTGTGTGTGTGTGTGTGTGTGTGTGTGGCACAGGACGAGAGATGTGTGGTGGGAGAGGCGGGCAGAATGACAAATGGTGCCTTGCCTCAGTTCCTGCATCCTACATTCCCTGCCTCGTTACCTCCTGCCTCAGACCTCCAGCTCTTTCCTCTACATTGGCCCCACGAGGCTCCTGACTTACTACCCACGCCTCCTTCCCAGGGCAGCTCCCCGCAGCAGAGAGGCCTGGAAGAGAAGCCAAGCTCTGCTCCTGACCAGCCAAGTTAGAAGGGAGTGTACTTCTACAGAGAAACAATGTTGCCCATGGTGAGCAAGGCAGAGCACGCACTCACTTCAGCATCTGCATTCCATCTGCAATTCAGAGGCAGTATGTGTTGAGTTGAGTTTCACAGAGTAGTAACTCCCACTGTCAGGGAAGGGACCTCAAAGCCAACTGCCTGGGTTTGAATCCTGGCTCCTTGGGTAGGTCACTCAATTCTCTGTGCTCAGTTTCCTCATTGGTAAAGTAAGGACAATAATGAGATCTACCTCACAGGGTTGTGCTGAGGAGTAAGAGTCAGTTTATAGACACAACTTCACACAGTGCTTGACATACTACAAGCATTTGCTTCGTGTTGGGTGTTATTACTACCTCCTGGGGCTAATATCTAAGAATTTCCCAAGACAAGTGATGGGTACACATTCCTGGACTCCTCCCCCTGCCATATACCATGTGCTTCATTCACATAAACTGCTATTCCTTCATTTATGCAAATTCTGGCACCTAAGATCTGCTAGGCACTGTCCTGGCAGCTGGGGGTTCACAGTCCCCACCTACAAGGAGCTCACATTCAACGTAACAAGAGTCCTTCCTGCCTCTGTGCCTGTGTGTGTGTGGCCTGAGGTCCTTGCCCATGCCCCCTCCCTGCTTCACCCTGGAAGCCCTTGCTTGTGAAATAGCACACCATTTGTGAAAATCTCTCTGACTTCTGTCCCACAGGACCACACATCCTCTTTTTCTATGTAACACCATGCACATCACCATTATGAAGTCCTTACAATGGACTGTCATTAAAAATACCAGTGTTGGGAATATCCAATGGAAAAAAGACAGTCTCTTTAACAAATGGTGCTGGGAGAGCTGGACAGCAACACGCCGAAGAATGAAACTAGACCACTTTCTTAACACCATTCACAAAAATAAACTCAAAATAGATAAAGGACCTGAATGTGAGACAGGAAACCATCAAAACACTAGAGGAGAAAGCAGGAAAAGACCTCTCTGACCTCAGCCGCAGCAATTTCTTACTTGACATAACCCCAAAGGCAAGGGAATTAAAAGCAAAAATGAACTCTTGGGACCTCATGAAGATAAAAAGCTTCTGCACAGCAAAGGAAACAATCAACAAAACTAAAAGGCAACCAACGGAATGGGAAAAGATATTTGCAAATGACGTATCGGACAAAGCGCTAGTATCCAAAATCTATAAAGAGCTCACCAAACTCCACACCCGAAAAACAAATAATCCAATCAAGAAATGGGCAGAAAACATGAATAGACACTTCTCTAAAGAAGACATCCAGATGGCCAACAGGCACGTGAAAAGATGCTCAACGTTGCTCCTCATCAGGGAAATACAAATCAAAACCACACTCAGATATCACCTCACGCCAGTCAGAGTGGCCAAGATGAACAAATCAGGAGATGCTGGAGAGGATGTGGAGAAACGGGAACCCTCTTGCACTGTTGGTGGGAATGCAAACTGGCGCAGCCGCTCTGGAAAACAGTGTGGAGGTTCCTCAAAAAATTAAAAATCGATCTACCCTATGACCCAGCAGTAGCACTGCTAGGAATTTACCCAAGGGATACAGGAGTACTGATGCATAGGGGCACTTGTACCCCAATGTTTATAGCAGCACTCACAACAATAGCCAAATTGTGGAAAGAGCCTAAATGTCCATCAACTGATGAATGGATAAAGAAATTGTGGTTTATATACACAATGGAGTACTACGTGGCAATGAGAAAGGATGAAATCTGGCCTTTTGTAGCAACGTGGATGGAACTGGAGAGTGTTATGCTAAGTGAAATAAGTCATACAGAGAAAGACAGATACCATATGCTTTCACTCTTATGTGGATCCTGAGAAACTTAACAGGAACCCATGGGGGAGGGGAAGGAAAAAAAGAAAAAGGTTGGAGTGGGAGAGAGCCAAAGCATAAGAGACTCTTAAAAACTGAGAAAAAACTGAGGGTTGATGGGGGGGTGGGAGGGAGGGAAGAGTAGGTGATGGGCATTGAAGAGGGCATCTTTTGGGATGAGCACTGAGTGTTGTATGGAAACCAATTTGACAATAAATTTCATATATTAAAAAATAAAATAAAATAAAATTCAAAAAAAAAAGAAAAAAAATATCAGTGTTGGTCATCAGTGTGAGTCCATGAGCCCATTGATAAAGACACAGAGCACGTTATTCATCCTCATAACCTTGGCAATGGCTAGGCCTATAGCAGACGCTCAAATGTTGTTGGCTGGCACTATTATAGTTTATATGCTTATGTGTTCCTCTCCCTCCTTGTGTCTCTCAGAGGGACATCAGACTTGTCTCTGTTGCCCCTCTATGCAGCAGCACTGACGTTCAGTAAATATTTGTTAAATGAAGGAATACATCAACAAAGGCGTCTGTCTTTATACCACGGAAAGACTTGAAATGAGAATAACTGGGGAAGAGAATTAGAGAAAAAAACTATCAAGAATATTTTCCAAGACCGTTATTAGCTTTCACTCTCCAGTATATCCGGTTGATATGAACCAGACTGCTCACCTATTTCTAAGCCCAATTGTCATTAATAGATAGAGAGGATTCACCTGTGATTAGCAGGTCTGATTGCAGACAAGCACTTGATGTTTCAAAGCTCTTTGTTTACAAACATGGATCGGTGCTCTCGATCAGGCTAAACAAGTGGGTCCCAGGCAGGTTCCCTGGGCCCACACAGTAGTGACCTGGGAGACGCATGAACCAGAGCTGCCTATCTGGCATCTGGCAGCACCATCTACAGCGGACTAAAAACATGAGCAGTGTTGACAGCCACTGGGCTAAGCCTTTCTCTGCCACAAATTCTTTTTCCAGGGCCAGGTCAAAACACATTTCAGCTCTAAATGAATGGAAGCTAACGGAGTTCACGAAGACAGAGAGAGGAGAGATGTGGGGATGCTTCTCATGACTTTGATGGCACTGTTTCACACAGGCCAGGGAAAGAAACAAGGAGACACAGGCAGTCGGCCTGGGGATCGGTGATATCACCAAGGGCCTTCACGAGCCCGGCGCCGCTTGCAGTGGCAGAGGTAGAGCAGGAGAGGAAAAGAAGAGCTGGCACTCTACCATCTTGGAGTTTACAGCCTCAGTGGAGGTACGACCCAACCCCCAAAGCAAAGACGTAAATGAGACCAGTTTAGGTTTGAGAAGTGTGGTGAAGAAGGTACAGTAAGATCAACAGAAGGGCTCGATGGAGGTGGGTGGGGTGTTAGTGGGGTGTCGGCCAAGGCAGTGCAGGAAGGATTCATCGAGAAGGTGGGTTGAGCTGAGATCTGAACGGTGCAGGAGAAGGAGGCGGCTCAGAGTAGATCTGGGGAAATGACACTCCAAGCGGAAGGAATATTGAGGGCAATGGCCCTAAGACAAGGAACAAGCTTGGTGTGTCTGAGCCGCAGAAGGAGGGCTGAGGGGTTGGAGAGTGAGGAGCGAAGTGCAGGAAAGGTGAGGCTGCCCAGGAAGGCAGAGGCCGGCTCAGGTTCGGTCTGGATTTCATTCTGGTTGTAACGGGAAGCCATGGGAGAATTTTAAAGGAAGGAGTGGCGCTTGAGGCCGTCTGGCTGCTGTGGGAGGGGCTGAAAGGGAGCGCTGGTGGGGTGTGGGAGACCAGCTGGGAGCCTGTCTCACTGACCAGGGGAGGAGGTGGATGGCATGGAGTCGGGCTCGGGAGGGGCAGCTGGCAGACGCGGTTGCACTCGGAACAGATTCCGAGGCAGAGTGGACAGGGCCTTGCTGGTGGACTGAGCGTGCAGGGTCAGAGGAAGCGTGGCCGGGCAATGACCTTGACCCCAACTGTCCTTACCAAAGACCTTGAGGTGGATGGATGCATCCTGCTCTCCAGCCTTGTTCTCGGCGATGCACACGTACTCGGCCTCGTCGTTCTTATCCACCTTCCTGATGGTCAGCTCAGAACTGTCATCGCTGAAGACGTATTTGTCATCTTCTTCATTCTCTATCTGTTCCCCGTCCCTAATTGGTACAGAAATGCAAAGTACCATGATTTTGACCACAGAGGTATGATGTTTATTTTTAATCAGTTTCCATAAAATGCAGATCGAGCCCATGGGGAAGACTCGGTCTTCACATACAGTCAACACACCAAACTGTACTTCCACATATGCCTTAGATTCCTCCACCCAAACCTCTGTTTCTGTCCAAAGGCTTACAAACTGCACCTACAAACATTCCAAAGAGGGCCTCCAAGGCCACGCCCTCGGGTTCTGTCCCACAAACGGAAAATGAAGGGATCTGACACACAAGGCAAGAGAAGCTTGCAGAAAAGGGTCCATCCTACACCGGAGCTGATATTCCCAAGCAGCCCATACCCGTTCCACGGAAATGCCAGCATGGAGCAGGCTCTGTGGCGTTGCCTTCTCCACTAGTCCCTGATAAAAGGCACGAGCCGGTCTCTTACTTTGTCCAGCTCATGGTGGGCTCTGGGAAGCCTTCAGCATCGCATATCAGGGTGACGGACTGGCCGAGGTTGGCGGTGGCATTCACTATACTCTGCCTGGCCTGGACGGTGGGTGGCACTGAAGGAAAGAAGAACTGTCAGGGGTGGCTGTGAAAACCCGGAGGGACCCAGTGGCCTAGAGAAGAGGCACATCCGGGGGACCTCAGGTCGGAGGGTCACAGCCTAGAGGTCGAGTCCCGGGCAGCTGCAGGGCTAGTGTGAGGGATCCAAATTCAGACGTGTACAAAATAATTACTCTAAATGGAATAAATAAGGCACCCACAAGCATGCGTCAGTGTTTTTGAACAATACAGAAGGTCATTATATGTATAGCAACGTATAATACTGTTTTCCAACAATACAGCTTTAGAAGCTACATTAGTATGTTTTATTCATTTAAAAATAGTATTCGACTTAAGAAATAGTATTCAACTTATACTAGCTATTTATCATTATATATTTTCTTAGTCAATGCGTATTAAACTTACAACTACCATGGTAAGTGGAACCTGATGTCCAAAAGGAGGCTCTTGATACTGGAAAAAGTCGGAAAAGCCTGTTCTCAGTGGCTAAATGGTTAATATACCAATTCAAAATGCATCCGCTTACCGAGTGACATTTCTCTGGGATTGTCATAAACAACCGTGTGCACAAACTGTTTCTACCAAAAGGACTGGGAAGGGGAGAATTTGGCAAAAAATATATATCAACAGCCAAAACAATTCGACCACGATTTACTTATTTTCTTAGTACTGACATTATAATTTCCTGTAAACATCTTGTAAATGTCAGATCGATTCCACGGGTGTGTTTATGTGACACTGCAAATTAAAATTAATAAGCCCGTGGCCCAGGATTCTGACTATTCTGAGGACTGAATTGATTATAATATTTTCTTTGAATTTTGAGCCAGAGGACTAACCTCATGATTACAGTAGCATCAAGGACAATGAAGGATGAATAAGAATTTATCGGTAAGCATGGGGAAAGTTTCCAGTTCCGTAAGACAATGAAGGACATTCAAGAGTTGCACTAGAAGTCCTCGGAGTTGAGGGAGACCCAAAAGACAAGTGTATTAAGGAAAAAACAAAACAAACCAGAGGCTATGTAAGGAGGAGGGATTCAGCTGAGATGGATATGTGAGTCAGGACAGGATTTACTTAATAGACCAAAGAGGAAATTACAGAGGATGATTTGGGGGAACCAGGTTGCAGTAATGGAGAGAGCAGGAAGAACGGATCTCCTCACCATTCACAATGACCTGAATGTCCTTGAAGTTGATCTCCCCCCGTGCCAGGATCCTGCCCTCGCAGCGATAAGTGCCCTCATCTGTTTTCTTGATGCCCCGGATCTGCAGGTAGTTGTTGGACAGGACTATGAATCGGACTAGAAGAGACAAGAGGCGGGTTCATCCAAGGATCAGTCAGAGATCTCAGGTATCTGCAGGCAGGTCACAGAGCCTTTCCTCTTTCCTAGCTGCAATCTTACAGGTGGGGCTTTAAGCTGAAATATAGGAATATGATCTTGGCTCTGACATACAGCCAAGAGCAAAAGTCTACTGGAAATTTGTCTTTCTCTTTGGAGAGAAAGTCAAGTGCCTGAATGGACAAGCTACAGACATACACCCATTCAGGACCTGGAAAGTGCATGTGGTTGGGGGACACTGGCATCTGAGTCTGGGCTGTAATGCTTCAGAGGCTGGCTGAGGTGGAAACCCTAGGGGACTTGGGGAGCTTGGGGGGAAAGGCAGCTGCCAGGGAATTCAGGCCTCACCATCTTTTTTCAGGATGACATCCCGGCCTTTGTGTTTCCAGATGATGGTTGGGGGGAGGGAGCTGACCACATCACACACGATCACGGCATCTTCCCCCTCCCTGAACTCCTGTGGGGTTGGTGCATTCTTGAACATGAGCTTCTCTGGAAAATGAGCGAGACAAGAGTGAGGGGAAACAGCTGGTCCTCCCATGCAGACCGCTTTACGCTAGAGCCATACTGCTTGGGTTGAGTTGTGGGCAACTCTCAATCCATATACCCAGTTGCACAGGACAGGGTCCCACCCCATACGTAGCCAAGACGCCAGGCAAAGCAGCTGGTATAATCAGGGGAATATGGCATCAATGTTTGGCAATCAATGCCTGTTCACTGAGTGCTGAATTTATCATACTTTGTGTAGAAAAGGGTCTATGGAGGGAAACAAGAGTCCTTCCCAAGTGTTCCTTGCCATGTGGGGTAGTGCCAATGAAACACAAAGCACAGGTGGAATGAACTGGTAGAACACCTAGTCTACAATGATTGGTCATTAGTCCTTTCTCTGTCTCCCACTCTGTCTGACACCCCAAACTCAGCCTTCCTAGAGCAGTGAGGATTCTGAAGAACTGAAGAAAGGCAGGCTTAATGGCAGAAAATACTCCGGCAATCAATACTTTCCATTAGCTGTCACCCACCATTATACTGGCCAACGAGTATATGCATGATAACAAGGTAATGAGATGCCACCTCCAGACCTGGTTTCAATGACAATGGGAACTGCCAGCTCTGAGCGGCCCAGAGTGTTCAGATAATGATCCCCCACACCCTACCGAGCCTCTGGACTCCATTAGCAGCAGGGGAGAGTGAAATAAGAGGGAAAACCTGAACTGTACAACAGTCAGTCAACACTTGGGGAAGGGATGGGGAACTCTTAACAGCCCTCTGGGAACTGTGTAATTTGAAATTAGAGAACACAGGCCAGAGGGAGGTACCTGGGGTCAGCATGAACCAGGGTTGTGAGTTCTGAGTTGGCCAAGGATCATTTAAGAACTCCTTAAATGGAGTCGGAGCTCCTATTAGCTCAGCTCAGAAAAGACTTGAGGAGTGGAAAGGAAGAAGCCCTCAGCCGGCCCTCTGCTGCCATCCCACTCTGCCTGCTGCCCACGTGTCTTTTGGCCAAAGGAGAGGACAGGGAATATGGAGGGAGACAGAGGAAGCTCTTACGGAAGATCTTCACGTTGACGGTGGCCTCTGACTCGCTGCCATCCTCGCCAGTGACCACACACTTGTAGATGCCGGCATCGTCAATGTTGGCATTGTAGATGGTGAGTGTGGAGGAAGAGTCATCATTCCACACCACGGAGATCCGCTGCTGGTTTGGGGTGAGCTTTTCTCCATTGGGGGAGAACCAGGAGATGTCTTTATCTTTGGCATCTCCTGCCACTAAAGAGGAAGAGATTATTTTCAAACCACTTAAGTTGGAAAGACCAAGTCCCCTCCAGGGTGACGGCAGGTTCTCAGTAAGAACTACTGAACAAGAGATCACTGGGCTTGATGATCAGGGAGGGAGACCATGTACATTAGGACACAACACAGCCTAACTCTGTGCTTGATCGTTATGCACACAACACCACTTATAGTAATTGGAAAGAACTCAACCACCACACGCGCCAGTATTTTTCAGAATACCCCAGGAGGGAAGAGAAGAGGCATTTGTTGAGGACCTACTGTGTGCCGGGCTCTAAATGAGGAGCTACAGCCCCATAAAATAGGGAGCAAAGGGAGTTAGTGTCTAGGATCGGAGCTCAACGGCATAGCCAGTCTGAGCCAACTGATCAGCTGATTTTTGAGGGCTTAGATTATGGCCTCCAGAGAGGAGGATGAGACACCAGCTAGTCTAGGTGTGTGGATTCCAACCAGTTTTATTCTAGCATCTGCCGGCACACATTGGCCTGTCATTTCAGCACCCCACCTCAGACAGACAAATTATTCTCCTTAAATGCTGCAAAGAAGGCAGCCAGAACCACTCATGCGCCCTTTCCCTGGGCTCCCTGGGAGGGGGAGATGCCACTGCTTAGTGGTCTCCAACTCCGATCCGGAACAAGGGCCCTGGGCACCGCCTCTCTGCGCGGTGCCCTTCCTCAGACCACACCGCCTGGCTGTGCACAGATGCTTAGTATGGAAATGAGGCAGCCTTCCTTTCAGGGCCCATCATGGTTTCAATAAATATCGCTATTTGCAAGATGTGCAGTGGGTTCCATGGCTGCATCTCCAGATCATTTAAATCGCTGCAATGAAGGCAAAGCCAGAGTGAACACATCCGGCGGCCACGAGGCACCTCAGCCGGCGCGAATCGCGATTGCACTGAAAGGCCCCTCCCTGCCCAAAGCCGCTTGCTAGACGTCAGTCTACGCCTAGCTGAGCTCAACGTCCCCGGTTCTTCCAAGATCCGAATCCCAGTCATGTCACAAGCAGAGAAATCACAAAGCTTTTACTCCACGTTTCCTGACGACTATCTGAGCTGTGGAAACGGGGCATGTTTTCTCAAGAAAAAACAAGGACACCGGCTTCCACAAACCCCAGAGCTCCGGGGGGAGCAATGGGACAGGATACAGGTGTTCACGACCGATCTGGAAAACCCAGGACCCACAGCCTCACAGCAAAAGAGACCCCGGGGCTCCATTTCCTTTCAGGCAAGTTTCAGACCTTCTTGGATTTTCCTGTTCTGGCGGATTCTAAGAAATAAGCCTTACACTGACCCAATGAAGCATTATTTCTGAGGCAGCGCTACTCTCTGTCATCATTTACAGAACTCCGGGTCGATACGGAGCGGGGGATCTGCGGTGATTTGCTATTCTGGGAATTTGTGCCCAGACTTTCCTTGGAAAATCCCTAGACCTCCTCCATCACCCTCTGCAAGTCCAGATGACACATCTCACTGTGTCGGGGCGGCCCTTTGAGAAGGGAAGGAAAAGGGCCTGAGGGCTTCCCTGGCTCTCCGCTCACACGACTGGACCGGCAGCAAGGTGGTTCCAGGCACAACCAGGTCAGCACACACAGGCCATGGGCTTCTGCTCTGCTGGCCACCTTTCCTCAAACGCAGTGGAGGCACAGGGCACTTGCCTTGGCATAAGAAGAATTTGGATTCTCCAACGCTGATCTCCCCTTGGCTGGGGACAATATCCACCTGCAGAGAAACTGCAAAAGACAAAGTCCAGTTGAAACACACATTAGGATTTTTGAGAACAAAACCCAGAGCTTCCATTCAAAAATAGGGTCTCCCACCTCACATTAAGGAAGAGTGAAGGCCAGGGCACCTGGGTGGCTTAGTCATTTGAGTGGCCGACTTCGGCTCAGGTCACGATCTCCCTGTTCGTGAGTTTTGAGTTCCGTGTCGGGCTCTGGGCTGGCAGCTCGGAGCCTGGTGCCTGCTTTGGATTCTATGTCTCCCTCTTTCTCTCTGTCCCTCCCCCACTCACACTCTGTCTCTGTCTCTCTCAAAAATAAATAAACGTTAACATTTTTTTAATTAAAAAAAAAAAAGAAAAAAAAAGAAAGAATGAAGGGAGGACGCTGTCTGGGTCGAGAGCTTGTCACCACCCAAAGAATCCCCAGTTCCCGTGCCAAAGCCAGGAGTGGGCCTGGTCCGGACCATTTCCTGTGGAATTTCTTTCCCCTTAGACGGTATGAGGGCCCCGGGGAATTTGGGGTGACCCTCGCTCTACATGTTTCTGGTCTCTTGAGAAGGCTACGCTCCTGCTCCAAACAGAAGCACTTCTGGGATTCACAGAAATAAAAGATGAGCTCCTTTCGGATGTCAACCTGAAGCATTCTCAAGGCTGTGTGATGAGGGAGGCCTGTCACTCAGACCTCTGCACAGGGGTCTCCTGCCAGCTCCCCTTGTCACCACGCTTGATGACTACGGAAAAGGGTTCACTGTGATGATCCGGATGGATTTTGAAGCAGAAGATGCCAAAACGCTCACCCTGCCTCATGACGAGGGGACCCACACCCCTCTTTCTGTAAGAGGAGGCAGCACATAACACCATTGCTACAGTCAGTCAGGCACTCCTCTGCAATGCTGCCGTTGCTGCCCTGCGGGACCCCCTGTCACTGCTAGTGACTCGTACAGAATTCTGATTTGAATATCCACACACTCGGTCATTCTCCTCCACCGGTAAGACAAAATACGCTGCCCCGGGACGCCACAGATTGCTCTATCCATTCAGTTCCTCATTCACCTGCTCGGAGCAGATATCTGCTCCTCGTGAAAACAGAGTTTTAGGGTAGGGAAAAAATGATTTTATCCATTTGGATTCAAACTCCTTCTGCCTCCCATCCAAATCTGAAAGCTAAAAGCTAACGGACATTTGGTTCAATGCATGTAGCTTCTTAGAGCTGATGTGGAGGAGGGGCCTGGACTATACAGACTGGGTAATAGAGACTCAGGGAGCCCTTCCTTAGAACAGCCATTTTCTCTGCACAGCAGACCGGGAGGGAATGCTGGTTGCCATGGAGACTGACTCCAGGCTGAGCTGCTGTCTGTACTCCTGTGATGAAAGGACCATGGTGCTCAGCAGAGCCGAGGGATCAAAGGGCCTGCGTGGGGCTGGGAAGGGGAGCCTGGGGACATCCAGCTACTGGGGGAGGGTGGGGCCTTGCTAACTATCCACAACAGACAAAGCAGACCATGGAGAACCAGCAGAGGCTTCAGAAGGAGCCAGGGCACGAGTGAGGAATCAGGCACAGAGTTCCGGCCGGGGGAGGATGCTAAAGGCTCCACCGTGAGGGCAGGAGGGGCAACTCAGACTTCCCTGGTGCTGGTTGGGAAGAAATGGAGCAGTAATCCGGGGGCAGCCAGTCTCTCTCAGGCAACCTCACTGGGTTGAGTGGTGATGACTCATCTGGGGCCTAGATGGAATATCACTGGGAGCAATGAAAAGGCTCCCCTACCTTTCCTGAATTGCCACATAGCACACAGAGCTGCAAAGGAACCCAACACTCTGCAAGTGTCACTAGCTGTGGCTGCTACTGTCACTCTGGACAGAGCTAGGTGCGCTCAGTTCTTTTTTTTTTTTTAATAAAAATTTGTTTTAAATGTTTATTTTTGAGAGAGAGGGAGAGAGAGAGCAGGGGAGGGGCAGAGAGAGAGGGAGACAGACTCTGAAGCAGGCTCCAGGCTCTGAGCTGTCAGCACAGAGCTCGACGTGGGGCTCGAACCTGTGAACCGTGAGATCATGACCTGGGCCGAAGTTGGATGCTTAACCAACTGAGCCACCCAGGCGTCCCCAGGTGCACTCAGTTCTACATGGAGGGAGCCAGAAAGAGTCTCAACCAGCACCAAGTTCCACGTCCTCATTTTCTGGATGAGAGAGAGAGGTAAAGTGACTTCACTAAGGTCACCTCTATTTAGGGCCAGCCAGGGTGGTGGTTGTGGCAGCTGCAGAGCCCAGGCCACTCGGCTCCCAGGTAAATGTCCTTTCCATCATGCAGTGCTTCCTCTGTGAGTAGAGGATAAAACGTTTTCATTCATTCCGTTTAAGGAACAATCTGGAGACCCTGAAGAACAACCCTCAGATTCACCATCCCCTAGCAGAACAGAGCAAGCCCAGAGCTGGTAAGGCCCTTAGTAACTGGGGGGCACAGGGCCTGACGGAGAGGGCCACAGGCCAGCGCCATCCATCGTGAGGCCAGCCAAGACCTTTCCATCCATGTCTATGGCTCACTTTCTACGGAACAATGGGTCCATGAAAGCCCAGGAGCTGCGCCTCTGTGATCTGTCACGTAAGTAATGGTCCTTGCTGGAGTTTACTGGGGCATTCTTTAGAGAATCAGAGGCATATTTCTGCCTGAAAGGTTCACTGGCCCATATGCTGAGCATCAGCAGCCAGCTTCAACATATGGATCCCGTTATTCTCACCGAGCCCTTATTGCTTTGAGAAGGATATTCTTATCCCAACTGAAAAAACAGCCTTCATTTTTTCGGTTCTTTTCAAACAGAACATGACTCTCCAGGGGCCAGAGAACATGGCGAGGCTCAAGAGTTTCATACCCAAATGTGGCCAGTATCCTTCTCTGGGCCGTGGAGAGCAATCAGAAACAAGACTTTCAAAGGAATTCCCAGCTTAGCCCGATCCCACGCACACATTTATCATCACAGAGGTTTTTGAAAGGAGACATATCCATTTTGACTCCTGGCACATAGGGAAAAGATAGTATGATTCCTCCTTCAAAACACCAGAATCAAAGCTGGGCCAGAGGAACCCCAGCCTCTCTGAAAGTCAATGCTTGGATGCTTTCCACTGAAGCACAATGGCTGATTCTTCTTCCCCAAATTCTGAACCTTGAATTATTAGGTTTAATAGCGGTATGTAGGAACCCTGCTCTAGTCTCCAAACTCTTTCCATGCACTTCGCGGTGCCCCTCGTCCTTTCTTACTCCATTAGGCCTTTCGTTGTTTGCAATAAAAATTCCTACCTCAACTTTTGCTTTTCTCCAGTTGCACATATAAGTGAAATTTCCTAACCAGGCATAACTCATACCTTTAAAGAAACCTAGGAAAACATTTCTCCCAGAAAAAGTATCTCATTTCGTGCTTTGCAACAAATGCTCTGCCATAACACCATGTGTTATCCTACTTCATCATAGATGCTTCCAAAGATACACGCTTTCACAGATGGGTATCTGGACCTGAAGGGACCCAGGTGCTTCCAGCACCTTCCAATGAGTATTCGTGCCCCATGGCCCCCTACAGCCAGATCACTAGTTCTGGTTCACAAAACATAGTTTATTACTTCATCTGATGTTCACAATAGTTCCGAGACATAAGAAGGCTGACCTTATGGTCTCCGTTCTACACAAGAGAATATTAACGCTCAGAGAAGTAAAATAACTAGCCCAGGGGAATTCAGCGAATGAGCAGTTAATAATCAAAGTCATCTGATTCTAAGGCTCCAGCTCTCCCTCCTACACTCCACAACTACCACTGATGTTTGTTTGCTTTCCTCGTGGACTCATTTTGACCTACTGGTTACCATTTGCTCTCTTTCAAAATCATGGGCTGGAAACAGCAGAGTGTATGAACATCTTATAGTCAAGCTGCTGCCTTCATTTCTACCCTGGTTAATTCTAACTGGCCTCTTTGCCCACACAGATTATCATAGCATTATAACTCCTATTTCACAGGTGGGAAAGTGGAGGCTCAAAGCCATAGGAAATAATAATGGTGGAGTCCAGATTCCAAGCCAGGATGGTTAAACTCAAAAGCCCCAGATATCTCTCCCATATTCTTTCCATCCCTTGTGATCAGACAGAGAAAGGGTTCTCTTCAGAACAGAATGATTACCCCTCTCCTCATCTCATTTAAAAAGTAAAATAACCCTGGGGGAGATCTGTATGTTTTCCAATGAGTGTTCTGTTTAAATGTTTTTTTTTAAGTGATGCTATGTTAGAAAAGATACAAACTTGTGTAGCAAACAGCTTCAGATGTAGATAGAACTTTTGTAACTCAACTTCTGGCAGAAGTTTCTTTAGTTGCTAAAGAAAAGTGAATTCAAAATTTCAGTTCATAAAACATGCTAAGGCATTTATCAGAAGAAGCAGAACTCTTACTAAGGCAAAGTAACAGAGAAAAGTTATCCTGATTTCCAAAAGGAGATCACGGATTTCACTGGAGTCTACAACTTGTTGATTCTCTTTAAAAAAATTTTTTTTCAAATGTTTTTATTTTTGAGAGAAAGAGAGAGAGAGAGAGAGAGAGAGACAGACAGACAGACAGACAGACACAGAGAATGAGTGTGAGCAGGGGAGGGGGAGAGAGAGGGAGACACAGAATCGGAAGAAGGCTCCAGGCTCTGAGTTGTCACAGCACAGAGCCCGATGCAGGGCTTGACCTCATGAACCACAAGATCATGACCTGAGCCGAAGTTGGATGCTTAACCGACTGAGCCACCCAGGTGCCCCGATGCTCTTTGGTTTTACTGGTTTTCTTTTCAGATTCTAATGTGCTTGAGGAGGTAGGAGCTGAGAAGAATGTAAACCCAGGTCTCTCCCAGGGCTAACTGAAAATATTTTCTTGTTGAATGGTGGTAAAGACATTGATTGCTGAGGAAATGGATTAGAAATGTGCAGTGGGCCCAGAACCAAGGTAAGAATTGGTCACCAATTCAAGAGAAGGGTGAACAACAGAATGTTACTCT